TGATCTGCAGTGGCTGGCATGGCTGGGCATGCTGGGGGTATGCAGTGGCATAGGCCCCGTGGCATGCTACATGTATGTCATTGTGGAGTACCCTTAGCCACATGTTCAGTCAAATCAACCAACGCTAAGGGATTAAACTTTGTGGTTGACAAGATGCCTGGCCAATGCTAAAGGACGTTAAAACTAGGGTAAAATGATATTGATTTTAAAGATCAAACGCAAATTTTCCGTGAAGTCAATGAACCACTCTCAAGTTGTTGGACTACTGGTCCAGTAACTCGTAAGATTTACTGGCCAGAAACCAGTTTTACAAGACCGTCTTCCTACATATAGATACATTTGACACCAGCTACAGTTTTTGGTCTTTCGGATGAATTTAAAGAATATCCATTTTAATATGCCCTCACAAGATGAACACCAAATATGTAAGCATGCGTTATATTCCACTTTTACATGTAGTCTGGGGGTGTTAGCTAGTTTACCAGACATGTATTGTTATAGGCTGCATGACACTGACATCAAAATCAGTGGACACGGTCTAGTGGTCCACGGCAAAATTTGAACCCTTCCTCAACACTGCCGAATTCCTTCAAAAACTTGTTGGTTTTTGAGGGATCTTAGAGGGCCAATGCTAAGCTGTAAGTGTCTTTGCAACATCTACAATGTAAGACATCAAATATTTTAATTTGATTTCTCAGCAGTCGTAATGACACCACCGAGAAGAACATGCAAAATGGCGAGTTTTCGGTCGTCTGAAAGCCAGCCCTCGGGAGACACACGGGGCAAGAGTCAGGCAAAACTACACATAGCACCATCAAGAACTGGAAAATTATCACTGTCGGGCCAAAGTGACACAGGAAGGTGCACGCGATCTCAGACTGCGCTCAGGTCAAAGGAAAACGTACAACTCCAAATCAATCGTGGCCCCGAGAACAAAATGAAGTCAAACCGAATTTACAACAGAGGCCCAGCACTTGTTGACCAAGCGTCATTTTCGGGCATTTTCTACCCCAAAGAGTGCCATACTGGGAAAGATTTGAAGCACAGAAAAGCTTCGAGCAAAAGTTTGAGACACTCCAAAACCAGAAAGTGTTCGGGAAGACGTATACCAGTCAAGTCCAAGAAGAGGAACAAGAGAGACATTCCAGCAGAAGACACATGCACATGTTTGTCTACTCAGGAAACGCTACATAGGGCAAGCAGTGAGACAGCTGAAAGAACGTCTGTGTCCAACATCCCTGCCACACCTCACAAGGACAGCGGAGATGATGCACTGGCCTTTTCAAACAACCATGAGACGATCAAAGCCAGGATTAGCCTGATGCGACGGCGCATACTGGAGGAGCAGGCCAGAGTGCAGGGGCTGCGGGAGGAATTGGCCCGCAACCAGAGCTCTGCCCGGGCCTCGCTGAGCTGCCGCCGGATCCGCATCCACAAGGAGCTTGCCAAGCTGCGGGAGAAGGTCCAGTCGGAGGACCGAAGGCGTCTGCGGGCTGAGGACCATCGCATCCGGAGGCGGCTGGCAGCCGGCAGGCGCCAGGCAGAGGGCGAGCGGCTCGCCATGAGGACCCGGCTGGCTCAGGAGTGGAGGGAGCAGTTCCGGTGCCGAAAGGGAGATGTGCGGCGGGCCCGGCTAACCTTACGGGAGCAGGCGCGGGCCTACGAGGCGGAGAAGAGACAACTACTGGGGCAGCTGCAGAAGGACTGGACTGCCCAGCTCCATCGAGTTCAAGAGGTGAGAGACAGACTGGAGATGGAAATGGCCAGAAACGGCCTACAGTGGAACGGAGTGACCTGGAGAACCGCAGCTGGGAAGCACAAGTACAGTCTACGTCAGGCCCCACGACAGAAGGCAAACATTTATTGTGTAACTCGGAAGATAAATAAGAAAGGGCCAGTAGGCTCCAACAAGCAAGATGGTGCACGTGTAAATACACAGGTAAGTACATTTACATGTACTTTGATGATGTATTCTTTACTACGCAGTAATAGACCCAGAAAAGAATCCTTCAGGATAAATACCGGTAACAATTTCTGGTAGCACCATGTAAATATCTCTTTTGTGACTAAGTACATGTGTTGTTCTGAAAAAACTGTTAGGGACTCCATGTTTTGGTCTGTATGCTCTGTCCATTGTCAGGAGACTGCAGGGATTATGTTTGAATTGACAAAGATTCAGAAATACATGTAACAGCATACTTTCCAGGGTATTCATTGAGTACTTCATGTATTCAAATGTTGGTCACTAGGCACACATGTACATGTTTTTGGCCCAGAGCATTAAAAAAAAAAGAAAAGCATTTGACAAAACTTTGTGGGGAGCATTTTAAGAAATGCACTGCGAAAACGCCATTGTGCATGGTATGAAAGCTATATCAATTGGAAGTGAGATGCTGTTTTGCTAGTTTTCCAAAATTGATTCATAAATGTACATGTACAGTACATGTACGTGTACACACATGAACGTATTGCTGTGCATTATAATGTGCAGTCCACATCTGCCTGTATGGTACATGTAGGTTGTAAACAATCGCGTGAAAAACCCCAAAGGAGGTATTAAAATACCAGTATAAAACAAAAAAATGTTTGGACAAGTGTACCTTTTGACAAAGCGTATGCACTGTGTTTTAATTCTTCTCACTTTACAGAGCCCACCCAGTGGAGCAACCGTATACAGAGAAACCAAGCAGAAGACCCTGACAGAGTTGTATCAACTGCTGGACAGTGAGCTTCGATGCAGCATCTGCTCAGAACTCTTTATATCAGTGAGTTGTAAAACTTCCAGTTGAATCATTACGAGACGTTGACGCTCACAAATGGGTCGGGTGTGCATTTTTCAAACCACCCGGCTGCAAGTGGTAAAACATCTTCTGTGTACATGTGTTTTTGTTTCGCACAAGGGGACATGTTTGAAGATTTGTTTAACCACATTTCTTCTTGTGAATGTAGGCAGTGGTGCTGAACTGCTCGCACACCTTCTGCAGCTTCTGCATCACCCAGTGGAAGAGGCGGACCGACCGCTGCCCCATATGCCGAGCCAGTATCTCTTCCCGAAACCCCCTTCCCAAGCTGGACACCTTCCTGGCCAAGTTTGTCCGGCTTGTGGGCCGGGAGGCAGAAAAGAAGCGAGCTGAGACTGTCAGGAACAGACAAGGTGAAGCTAGCCATTTGGTTACTCGTACGAGGCCCATTGTTGAACCCTGATGGCCCCAAACCCATCAGAACTGAAGGCACTTTATTTCTCTTGGCTTTTTACAGAACAGACAGCATGTTATGCTTTAATTAGGTTTCAGTGATGAATCGTGCTCAAACAATGTGCAATTATATTGAGTGCCATGTAAGTTTGATTTTATTAGATTATTTATGGGTCTATCCCTAAGAATAAGAACAGGTGCTGGTAAGATGATGTAGGGATGTACATATTCTTTTCTAAGGGGTTCAGTGGGGAACTTATACATGCATTAAAAGTATGTGGTGTTTCAAAAATTAATTTTTCATGCTAGACTGTCTATAGTATTGATTGTTCTCAATTTACAAATGTGTTAAAGCAAGTTCTGTGATAACAATTTCCTGTTGAGCTGCCGCCAATACCAAGTATCCACATTGAAACCTTTCTTGTCCCAGTTATGTGCGAAACCACAAAATATTCTTTCTCTTAGAAACAAAAAAAATCTTATAGTTTATGCACATGACAAAGTCTTTGAAGACAACGTCACAAACTTAACAAATTCAGCAGAAAAGGAAAAAAATCCACCTGGAATTAGGTCCGTTTTTAGTACTTGGTTCTTTATGCATTGTTGCATGTAATTTATTTGTGTCCCACTGAAGCACTGAAATCCTGCCAGACTTTGTGCCTGAAGTGTTTGACCTTTGTTGTGCAAAAAATCAGTGACATACACAACTCTTTTTGTCTATGTAAACTTCTTGTTCTGAATGCAGACCAGGAAAAGGAGCTGCAGCAAGGGGGCCGCACATGGGGCAACCTAGCCAACCACTCTCTGGATGATCTGGACCCCGACGATGACGATTTTGATGACTCCTTCGACAGTGACAGCAGTGAGGTGGACGAATTCCTGGAAATCCTCCAGCATCGCGTGGGCGGGCCTGCCTTCCGTAGATTCTTTGGGTTTGGGTTGGGTGACGTGGAGGACATAGAGGACATGGAAGATGACGACTGGGACTTCTTGGATGATGATGAGGACGACGAGGATTTGCTGTCGTCTCTGAGCAGTGATGAGCCCGACTTTGACGATTTTGCCGATTTGGATGGTAACCCTCTGGATGATGACGAAGAAGATGATGATGAATTTTGATGATCTGTGAATGCTGTAAAACATTGTGCTGAAGATGGACTTGGAGCACAACTGCCCACTGCTTGTGACAAAGAGATCATATCTGAACCAATTGGCTTCAGCCAGGAGTACGAAACATCTATGTGGATGTGGCTTGCATAAGGGCATGTATTATTTCCTGGCAGAGCCATGCACATGTACATGTAAATCAGGCCCAGGCGAAGACATAAAGGAGCACCGTTGCTCACTTTCCGTCCAATGCTCCCACCGAGAAGCAACTAATTTGTACAAATTCCGACGAAAAGAGTCATGCCAGAGGGTCTTGTCAGAAGACACCAAAGTATACCACATGACCACACAAGTTCTCCAAGGTTGGCCACCACTGGAGAAGCACACACAAGTTTGCAACCATATTTCCTGGGTTGTACATGTCAACTACATGTACATGTATGTAGACAGTGAAGCTCATTTTCAAGTTAAATAATAGTGAACTCTCCATCAACTGGCAATGTGATTCACACTTGTGCCACGTGCAATTGTTGTTATCTGCCGGTGCCACAGTGGGGTCTGGCTCTTCATTTCACTCACACCTTTTGCCATTTGAAGCCTTGCCTATCTTCTACGTAAATACTGTGCACCTCCGTCTACCGGGTCACTTGTGTCAGCACCCCCAATCTAAGTTCATGGTGCGCATCTTGCATATCAAATTGTATTATTGTAACCTCTGTATCATGAGTCATAAACATGTCAAAAGTGGGACCTCGACATGCCCCCATCAAGCAAGTGTAAATGCACCTGTCAGGTGAAAACATCTCTGCATTACATTAATACCCTACAAAGAGCCTACAGTATTGCTCGTACTGTCTCTAATCTGCACTGTGGGTGATTGAGATCCACTTTCCAAATAGCAGGTGTGAATATTAAAGGATTGAACTTTACGTGTGCGTAGCATGAAAAAAATAAACATGAAATTTTATTAATTTAACTCAATATGCGACTGGAAAACCGTGTGTCGAACAGAATGGAGAAGTGTATCACAAAATTATGAATATTTTAAATGTGTCTGGCAATAAAACGGTCACAGATGAAGTTTTCAGTGCCATTTTCATGTGGTTTGACGAGATTGCAGCATATCACAGTGGACTGAAGTTCACTTACACTGATGTTCCATTCATTGAACCAATGAACCATTCATTGAACCTTGCAAGTCCCTATAAATACACCCAGAGAATTTGGAGAATTTTCGGTGATGTGAGGAAGGTAAAAAACCCAGCTTCTGTAGCTTCCAAAGCCCGATATCACCAGTAGCCTGCAGTGCACAGTTAACAACTTTTCATGATTCAAGAAGGTCTGCTTTTGCCAAGGGTTAATGCTGTAAGTTTCAAATGATTCATGTACAAACTGAGTACTATTCTAGAAGGCCATTGTGGAAATTGAAATGACTTACTGTTAAGGCATCTGAGAATCTAAGTTTTGATTTTTGGCATGGCTAATTTGCATATGTATATGTAGTTATATAACGTCAGTTACTGGTCACCTCTACTATGACCATGCAAATACAATGTATTCTAAGTGCTGTTACAATGTATTTGATGATTTAAATTAAAGGGGGTTTCAAAACAGTTTATGAGAGACTTGCTTCTCAAATGTTTATTAGGATTGGTTGAGATCCTTCACTGGAAACGAGAACAGTAAAACGTCAGTGAAAACTGTTTTTATTGGAAGTTAATGTTGACCCCCAAAATGGTTCTTTCGGAGCTTAACTTCAGTTGTATATTGTTGATGCATTGCCTTTGAATTGAAAATGCCAGCAATTCAGAAATGTTACTACCACCTTGGACGGGGAGGGGTGGATATGTGGATTTTTTCTTATGTTGAAAAAATTTGAAGAGTCATTTTTGTAGAAATATTCATCAACCCCCCCCCATCCAAGACCTGGATATGCCACTGCTTATTTTGGTTCTAATAAGTTTAGTAATTGGGGAAAAAGTCAAAAGGTCTGAACTACATCACTTCTGATGACAGTCACAAGTCCAGTCCTGTGCGTGTATCATCTGTGTTTTCTCATTACAGCATACGGTGTAATGGTTCATGTACATGTATTTTTTCCATTTCTGAATATCTTTTCGACAATAACTGAAATGGTCTGCCCTGTTGAGGTCTTAACAACTTTGCTTGAATGTCTTTCGCCAGAAAATATTTAATACCATAAACCGTCTCTGTGTCCAAGAATTATTGTACATTAAATATATTTCAATATTGTGGAGCAATTCGAAAACTAATGCATGGTATATGTAATGTCATATACAGCAGCATGCATTGACATAATGAATTGATGTGTTCTCAGATAGCAGGTGCAGCTCCAGATAGAGTTGGTTGGGTCATATCCCTCTCCCCCCCCCCACTCTGGCGCCAAAAAAATAATTTTTAAAAAATAAATAATAGTAATAGTAATAAGAAAAAAAATCATATCCTACTGCAGGTATAAAGTGCGTTAGTTATAGTGTAACGTTTTTCCTATGTTTTCCTGCCTCCCTGATGTATGTGACCGTCGGTGGCAACAGTCGGACATAAAAAAAATCTGACATTCTTGATACCCCCACCTGGAAAATTTTCTAGAAACTGGTGCTTTAAAGTGGCCAATCCTGTACACTTATGATCAAACCATATCCATTTCTAGTATCAATAATATTCTGTCCTTGTTTCTGGTAAGCATACATGTATATACCGTCACATGCACGGATTGTTTTACCTCCATGCAAGACGTTTTGCTTCTCAAGTGCGTCTGATGAGGCAGTCATTGTGCGTACAGAGTAAACAGAAAGTTTAACATACCACATGAACTCTAAGAAATAAAGTGAATCTCTTCTTTGTTGCAGGTGTTTCTATTGTGTTTGCTGAATCTGTGTTCATTGGCCAATCTGATGGTTGCTTGGTGGTTTTATGGAGCGTTTGTTTTCAATTTAAATGTTTACATGTGTGAAGCCGCAAGCAACTCCTAGTCTTGAGTAACATTTTTTATGGTCGCCGAGGCTAGTCTTGGAAACAGAGGAGTTCACATTTTTTCTACAAATGAACTTATGTGTTCAATCATGCTGAACGTCATCCTGAAAAAAAAAACCACCCATGAACAAGAGACAGCTGATGAGATCAGGAATTGTACCCATGTATGCTCGTCAAAGGGGGAACCGCTGTCAGATATGCCGCACGTGGGCTCGTGCAGCTGTGGTGAAGTTCTACGCCGGTCCAGGGCGTGCGTGGAGGAGACTTGCCGAGCGGCCTGCGTATAAACTGTGTTTCAGCGGGGATGGAGGATCTAGAGCTCCGTCCACTGGGCTCCATCGTGGCTGAAATCAATACCTTCTTTCCGGTGCGGCTTGGTATTATTGTAAAATGGTTCCTCCAAAATGCGTTTTAACTGGAGATGGCAGAAATGCTCATTGTAGTTTTTAAGGCTTCGAGCTACGAAACTCAGCCGTGAGTGCACCAATACCATTGTAAACAATGTAAATCATGCAATGTTTCATCATTGTTTCCTCTTTCCGCAAAAATGAGACATTAAAAAAAACCTGCCTGACTCCGGTCCCCCCCCCCGGAAAAATTCCTTTATCCGCCTCTGATGCAGTGTTTATGAATACATGTACGTCGGTGTAAGGGCCGAGCCTGTAATTATTTGTAGAAACCATTATAACGCCTCACCCACAGATTCTGTATCTTGATTGGCCGAAAGTGTGTCATGTGGCGCTTGCTAATTTTACTTTTTTATACCACTGCTTCAAAAAGACTATACCATGCAGCAGGCCTCATTCTGAAAAAGAACTTACCTGTAGCAACCAAAGAACTATATCCGTAGCAACGAAAGCATAGGTGTGTATTTCGGCTCATAGTGAACAACATTGGTCAATGAATTTTTTCAAGCGTCGTTGTCATGTTCCCTTGGAATTCTTGAAATAAATTTGATGAATGTATATTCCAGTTTAGTGTTTCATTATTGATTTTTAGCTTAAATTTTGCAGAATCTGTGGGGAGGTATTATGAAACAAATATTGACTGCTTTATGTCACGGTACAATAAACCTATCCTCCCTCAGTGATCCATGGAGCTCTTTTTTTTCCTTCAGCTTTGCCTCGGGAAAATAGAATGCTCCATGGATCACCTCGGATGGCCAGTTTTACAATAGGCCCTCGAAGCAGTCAATATTAATACTCTGCATCAAAGGCTGAGATCAATGAAAGAGCCGTAGGCGGTGTCCGAATTTCTTGGGTACGGCTTGAAACTACACACGGCGCTAAGGGAAGGGGCTGCAGTCGAGTCACAACGGCAATCTCGTTAAAGCCACAACCAAATTTATGAAAAGTGACCCACACGGTACGCACGAGGTTCATTCAAAACACCTCGTATCATACAAGCAATGTAGACGTGCCGAGTGTATGGAAAAAGGAAAAACTCGGACTACGGACGACGAGACCATTGAAACCATTTCATGCATTTCACGTGAAGTAAGACTCCTATGTTGCTCTAATTGGCATCCTCAGAAGTAACTGTTAGTCTGCAATAAACGTTTTCAGCGTAAGTTCTGTTTAAGGCGTGTACCCGTTGACATTGAGCGCGAGGGTCGGAATGTACATGTACATGTACTGTACATGTACAGTACATGTAGGCCTAGGCCTACTTCGAAGTTCGACTTTTCTCATCATACTCACGCAGTGTTGCCAAACCTATTTGTGTAAAAAACTTCGAACTTTTCAGTTGAACACTGTTACTTTATAAAACATGTACATGCTGTTGAACCTTTGGGAACGATTGCAGTGTCATGAAAATTAGTCCGAAAGTGGAATATGAGCGGTGGCGTCCGGAAATTGGGCACATGCAACTGAGTTCTAGCCCACTGTGGACTACCTGACCTTAAACGCACTGGTAGTACTAGGTGCCAAGTACATGTACATGTAGTACATTTACTGGTATTGTTATTTAGTACATTTATTTGTATTGTAACAGAATGAAGTTGCATTATGAAGTTCATGAAGGCAATGTACACATAACACAGGCTATACTTTTGGCCTTGCCATGTAGCTGTAGCCTAGGCTTACAAAGACTACATGAATGAAGACTGACGTCCTATAAACTGCAAATCAGTCTTCCCATTGAGCAAGAAAATTTTGAAAAAATGTTGCATCCTGACTTCACTTCTGCAGTTGTGTACAAAGTCTATGGGGAGTGAAGAAAATTTTCGAAGTATTTCCCAACAACATCGGTAAATGTTTCTCAGTCCAGAATTCGTGTCTTTCCAGCATTTCTGTATTGACTGATTTTTTATTGAGATGATATATGATGAGTCAGGATGCAACATTTTTTCCGGAAATTTTCCCATAATAACATGTGTGGCACACTTCGAACAAATTTTCTGAAAATCCTTCATTAGCAAATCATCACTTGACATATCCTGCACAAACCCCATGAGAACTGGTCTGAAAAAATGGTGTTTTCTAACGTGTAAGTATCAAGTAAATGCTTGCCTTCAGTATTTCCTCCTGCTAAATTTGACTTTTTTTCAGGACATTGTCATTTTCTGATGGTAAAAAACACTGCAAGGGGAAATAAGGGAAAGCGTTCCATACACAGACAACACTAATTTTCCCTTTAAATGTTATCACAGTTGACAGAAAGTAATAACATGCTCTAAAAAGTTAACACTTAAGTTTTCAGACAAGTCTCAGAAGTTTGTGCACAAGGCCTCAAGTGTTGTCTGTATTATATGGGTAACTCTTCCCAAAATTAGTAATTTCTGTATGGAACTATTACCATCAAATTTAACAATCAAAAGATTGAGATATTCATTTAGAAACATGAAAAGGGGCTCAATACATAGCAACTTTACAAATATTGCTTTTTAATGATCCCCTCTTCACTCTCTCTGATTCTCAACACTTGTACAATCCACGATGGTGCTGAAAAGTATAAATCTACAGTACATGTACATGTACCAGTAGGAGAAATGAACTAAACTTAGCAAGGGTTTGTGCTCGGGGTGTTACGTACCTGTACACGTGCACTGTAGGTAGCTTCTGTGGAATTTTTTTCTAAAAATACCTTCTTTTCCTTTTTTGGCTGCAGTTTGTGCACTTTGAAAGGCAAGTTGGAAAATCAGGCCAAAATTTTAAAAACTGGAACAAATTGTAGTAGTTACCAGCCCTGTCACCAGCTTCAGGCATTGCTGGAGGTTAGGTATCCCAGGGGGCGCACTACAAGGACATATGCCGATTGGGGTTAGCTGCTAATCCTGGGTGGGTAACAGGATGCTCTGGTTAACTCATGCTTTTGGGAAATGTAAGAACCGAATGAAATTTCACTTCAGCCTGCTGTGAAATTTCAGGTGCATTAGAGGCAACAAATCAAAGTAAGCTGCGCCACCTTAGCGTACGGTGTGCATGTACTGTAACCCCAGAATTGTGTGGTTCGTCATCCGCTGCGCTCCTGTATGGGAGCACAGCAGACGTTGAACCCCCCCGTTCTAGGGGTAAGCGTATGTTTGTTGTGGTACATTGTACATGTTGTACATGAAACAAACATCGTCCTACATGTACATGTGTATGTACATCTTCTTAGCCAAAAAAGCAACCGAAGCTGTTCCATCTTGAAAATTTCTGAACGCCAGGCTCTGGACTGGACTGTCTGGACTACGTTGTCTAGACGCATGATCAAACATACACAGTCATGTGTACATGTACATGCGTCCGGTAGCTGTTAGATTCATCTGGTTTTCAAGTTTTCTTAAGGGCTAAAACTGATCACCTTGATGCCACACTTGTACCCTGTGCATTGTGACACTATTTGGGATTAATTATCTGTACCAAATCCTACCGTGGCAGGTTCTTGTGTGCAGCAATATCAGCATTTTTTCTTGTTGAACACTAAGCTAAATGGGTGCGTATTAGTGAGCACTACGTGTACATGTACATTGTACTTACCAGTATGTTTTTCATTTCATTTTTCATTGATAACTGTACCCTGGAATTCTTTTCAGCAAGTGATGAATTTGTTGGTCATGCCGAATACCTGCTACAAATAGATTATCTGGAGGCACACATACCTGTACATGTAATTTACATTCATGAATAATAAACAAAAATAAAATGAAAAGTACAATGAAAGTGAAAGGATTATGAGTAAAAGTGAACAAAACAATGAAATTTACAAAGGAACTGAAAGGATTATTTTACTTTAAATGAAATGTCCTCAATGCCATTGAATTAAGCAGAAAATGGTAGTGCAGCAAAATAAAAATTGTGGAGAACATCAACACCGACAAGACCAAGTACGTGTAGAGTACATGTACATGTACATATGGTTGCTGTTTAATAAGAAGATCACATGCAATCAGACGGTCATTAAAAGTCGGAATTGCATTTTCTGTGCCAATAAGGTTCATTCATTTAACTTCTTTCAAAAGTTACATGTAACTGCATTCTTAAAAAATACTTCTGAACAAAATTACATGTACATCAAAAAAGTGGTTTTATACAGGGTTTCTAGCCAAAAGTAGCCTTGAGAATTAGGATTAATGTTCCCAAGTTCCACTTCAATTTACAGCATTCCAATTTTTTTTCTGTGGATTCTCACATTCAGCGTGAAGCATGCTGACTCGCATCATTGGTTGCTTGCCTGCTGGTGCTCGTCACTGCTGGCCAGCGAGATGTGTGGTCATTGCCCGCTACCATGAAGATCATGGAGTGTACGGCTACAGACCGTCGGCCTGGATGCAAAACTGCACTGCAGAAACCTCAGGTATAATAGGGATGTATATATGTATGGGGAGGTTGGATGTCATATTGATATAGAGCTCCCTGTAGCCTGAAAATAGGCTCTAAAACCTGTTTAAAAAGAGAAATGTATTGGGGAGTCAGGTTGGCAAGTCAAGGTGGCTTGGTAGTTCTTTCCTCCCCTTCCACCTCTGTGGTCCTGGGTTCGATTCCCGGCCCAATCTATATGAAATATGCGCTTTATAAATGAATAAATTATTATAATTATTATAAAAGAAAGAAACTGACTGATTATATTGTAGCTGTTGCCAGCAAATTTAAATAAATGGTACTTACACGTAACTCGCTAAAAGAAGAAAGCACCCTCTTTAATGCATTTATCTGTGCGTGTGTGTACACCTATGAAAATGATTGAATTCCCAACTAATTCCAGGGACATGTTGGGTCGGACAGCACGTACATCTTAAGATTACAAGATATACTCCCAGCTGGGTTCCATTCCCAGCTGTCTTCCTTTCTTTTTCGTCCCCCAAAATGAAAAATTTCTTTCTTTGTTAATATTTTTTTTTCTCATTCATGGCTCGGGAGGATATTTCCTCTGGCGGAAAAGTCTACAATTGTAATTTAGTCTGATTCATTTCCCACCTCGTGATTGTGAAGTCACAATGGCTATATTGGCCCAGAACCAGACTAAGATTTCTCGTGGTACTGGTAAAACATTTTTAAGTATGAAAAAAAAAGTCACTGCACATGTGCCCGGCAAAATATCGTTTGTTGGATTTTCCGGCAACAGCTAAATGTACTGCCTACATAACAGTAGCCACCACAAGCCTACAGAAGGGTATGAGCCTCCAGCTGAACCAAGAGAGGGCGCAATTTTCTTAGCAACAGAGGCTCCTTAAGTCAGAACTGAACTTCGCTGGTTCACGAACAACTGTCACATACACGCATTACGGATGCGTCGTTACCAACAAAATGAACACTCCCGACCAATATGGCTCTTTTTAACCGATGAGGGGGTGCTTCTGCTCGAGGTGGATTGTGTCAAACACACCCTGCACCATAAACTGTATGTATTTCTATACATCCTGGTACCTTTACCAGGTTACTACCAGTACCATAGGTCATATGTGTGCATCGCCAGACTACTGAATGGGATATTTAAATTCAAATCATAGTTTGTTACAAGCTAGAGCGAAGCCTATTTTTCTTTTCCACACCCTCTGTTTCCTACCTAGTCTGCCCAGATGTCCAGAGGAATCGTGTCCACAGTGCTGCTCTGGTCCAGTTGGTGGAGGCTTACCGCTACTATGGCCACAAGAAGGCCAAAGTGGATGCGTTAGACATGCAGAGGCCCAAGTGAGTTCACAATCACCCTTTTTTCACATCAAATTATTGATAGATAGTTCAGCACTCACTACCATGCCCTTGAAATACAGGCAGCGTTGATGTCAGTTTAGATTGAACAAGAGCGAACAGTCCTAAAAACCGTACATACAGTATAAAGCTTCAGATCAGTTACAGGAGTTGTGAATTTGACTTGTATCTATGCAATGTCCTGTGAATGTACTTTGCAGAACAGTTGCGTGTAGGCACAGAATTTACACAAATTAATCCTCAACAGTGTTGATACAGCGACTGGGACTTCTCCAGAGGCGTAAATACATCTTCTCAGTCACCATGGTGCCACAGCCCCCGTTCGTCCAGCACTACAGCTGTGTTGAATACTTGAATACTCGGAAATTTGAATGATTATTACAGTTTATAACAGACCTTCCTGGTTCTTTATCCTGGTTGGCTGAAATACTGTCACGTGTGGTTCACTAATATGGGCTAGTACATGAATTTGGCCTCAGCGTGACTCGACACACACCTAGACATTGCGTGCGCATCAGTTCCAGAGACTGTGCCTAATCAGATACATGTACTAGTCTTGAAAATTTTTGACTAGTTGTTGCGTCCTCATGAGTTAAAAGTCTAGAAGGTGTCTTTTCCTAGTTGCATACAATCACTCAAATTAGACGGCATCTATGAAAACTAACATGAGCCTTCCATTTTTGCAAATTTTGAATTGGTGTTGAGTGAAATGTTGAATTGGTACAATTGAAACACAGGAAGATTTCATTTCCTAGTTGTATACAGCAACTCAAAATTAGACTGCAGAAGGGACACTAAAATGAACCTTCCATTTTTTGGCAGTTTTGGAAGTGCTATTGCAAGTTGAATTAAAACAGTTAAAAGTCTGAAAGAGTGTTGAGGTATGTCATAAAACACACGGACTGGCCAGATGTGTATAACATATTCAAAATATTTGTTTTTAAAACTGAATAGTTGGAAGTGCGAAAGTCAATGAAATGCATATTCAACTGTTTGGTTACATACTTTTGTATTTTCCTTCACCCCAGGCCAACACCTGAGCTTGATCCAGCACACTATGGCCTCTCGTCTTCAGAGCCTCAGACCTTTGATCTGACAGGTTAGTAGAAAAGTTTGTCCAACTTTGAAACAGTGTTGGATACATTTTAATGTCACATGGACCTGGTACTTTTGCTTTTGGAAATCAAGATGGAGGGCCGTGAAAACAATTTCTCAAGCTGTTTTACGTTTTTGTGAGAGGGTATGTATCCGCAGAACTTAACTGTGTGAAAGTGATCAGGCATTTTGGCACAGTGGTCTTAATTGTTGGCACTTTGTGTACAAGGTCCATGTCATTTTTTGCCAGTCATAATATTTGAAGTATTAAACATAGCCCCAAGTGTTGGCCAAAGCTGAGATTGCTGTTTGCTTGTGCACCTGGGTCTTTCCATAAGTAATGGGGTAAATTGCCGTAGCACAGAAGTCCAGTTTTCTTTAGGCTTTCTCTCGTAATTTGCTTATCTGAATGGCTGGGGAATGACCATAAAAGGACAAGAAGTGTTTGAAAACTGTCGTCAGTTTACACCAAGTTAATGGCAAGTACATGTAAGTACAAGCCATATTTGTATATGTACCAGCTTGCGGGGTTTGGCCATACAAATCACCAATTTAAATTGCTCTTTAGAGTAAATGATTTTTTTTAGTAACTAATTTACATGGAAATCTTTTTTTTAGAAAATGTCAGGAGAATTATTTATTCCCCATTTTTTTCATCTGATTTTTTAAACCACTGTTCACACATGTGTAACGGCAAATTAATGCCCTCCTGTGACCCCTTCATTACATACGGTGATGGTAAAAACTAGGGGTTTTACATTCCCGTTCGGCATGAATTTTTGTTCAAATCATGCCATTTGCTTTTATTTACATGTAAATCAGCTTTTGGGATTCAGTGCATGAATTAATGAGTCACATGTATAATCATTTCATTGATTGGTTTAGAGTGTTTAGCTCAGAGTCTAACGTTGTGAAGTGTAGATGCAAAATGACATACATGTACATACACGATCTACCTTTTATCCCTATTGGAATTAGAAGTGTTAGTCACTCAGCGATGAAACCACAAGTAACTTATACAGTGAAATTTAATCAAGCCTTTATTGAACACGAAGGAACTGGATTGTGAACAAACTGACACGTAACAGAGTAACAACATTAAAAAGTGATTGGAACGAGACTGCTTTTTACAAGCATCGAACCCCCCTAAAATACATGGAAAGAGCTTTCTGTATCCAACATGGATGTGTAGTGAGATACAACACATGAGGTACAAGAACATTTTGCTCTGCACTCAGTGATGTATAACGTGTACATGTACCTGTGCTGGATACTTCAATAAAAACCAAAGTGTTTGTTCATGGAAATCCTGTGTCGCTGTGAGGTTTATTCACTTTTCCCTGTATTCGTCCAGATACGTACTTGTGCAATCTTGCCTGTCCAACGGTCGTACTAAATTTTCTGTGAGTACAGTGCCATCAAAGGAAAGCAGACCACCAGTGATTGAGGGGAAGTTTCGTCGATGCTTACCAAAGCCTATATTTTTAGGGTACATGAGATGGAGACTGACTTGCTAGGATGGAATTAAGCAGCGGTGATACTCGGCAAACTTCCAGCATAGAGGAATAAAAACTACAGTCCAGCTGAAAAAGGCAGACTGCGAGGGAGTCAATCTGAGGAGGCGATGATGTCATCATCAGATCATTGGTGCACTTGAGCCATGGCACAGCAGCAAACCAGGAACTACTTTACATATGTCAAACAGGAAGATGTCATTAAAAATGAGGAGGAAAGGCCAGCCAAGTGCATGAGGATTGCGTCCAGAAAGGAGAAGACTGTCAACAGCACCATTGTCGGTCCATGAGCAGGTTCCTCTTCAGTCGTGTACGGTACCTTCGGCCTGTAGATGCAAATGAGTGCACCATATCACTTTCATGTTATACATGTACGATGTAATTGCAGGAGGGCACAAAGTTCAAACTATTGAATCAATCTTTTTATGAGTTTAACTTTCGTATTTGATCAAGCTACAATGTAGTTTAATGACCGTGAACAAAGTTGTACATGTGTTGATATCTCTGAAAATATTTATATGTATGGTTTAATTCTTTTTGATTGAGAAGCATACTAAATGTAGTTATTAGTGCTTATACCCATTGGGAAAGTTGTTTCTCTTGAGTTCTGACGAAGTGTTTTGTCTTAAAACTTTTTATTTATTTTTGTACTGAAAATTGTCTTTAGTACACACCCAGAGCGATAACTGATAAATTGATGAATAATTTTTATTGAATAATTATTACAAATAAAACCACCACCATTGATTGTCTAGTGAAAACCTGTGTTACCTTACATGTACATAGGAATGTGATTTATTCAGGTTTCCCTGGACTCTGATTGATATTGAATTCAAACCTACATGTATAGCAGAAAAACTTCTCAGAGGAAGCTGCATGTACATGTCCATGTACACGTGCCTGATCCTGCTGTTCACTCTTGGCACGTTGCCGCCGTAGGCATGCAGAGCCTCGAACTGGCGGCTTGTGAAATTGCGTCAGAATTGCTTTGTCCAGTCGCATGGTATAAGAACTAACGCGGCACGAGCAAAATTACATCAGCAACGTACACGGGAATCACCGAAACGGCGGTATTTATTGTGTAAAGCTGGCACCAGATCGAGGCTGTGCATGCCTATGGTGGCACTGGCAGCCTGCAAAGAGCAAACGGTTGGCAGTACTTGTTCCTGCCCTTCCCTTTCCTACAGAAATGCACAGTTTAGGTGTACATACATGTTACATGTACACCTTATACGTGTATGTTTATGCATGATGTACATGTACTTAGTACATATGCATGCACACACCCAAATACACCTGCCACTTGCCCCCCTCCCTACCGCTAGCTGTGTACGTGGACAAGTACCGATATGGTTTTCCTCCTGTCCCTATTATAGATCATTATGGTCTTCCCACATGTACATGGTGTGCATGTACATAATTACATGTATATACGTGTGTGTGCAGCGTGCATTGTACCAGTATATGTAACAAGGTCTCTATAAAAAATGTGATCATTTTTTGGGCTGAAATACAGGTAGTGCATTTTATGGCACCTTGAAGTGGGCTATTTGTGGTAAGATATGCACTTCATAAATTTCTCTGTTAATGCTACATGTATTACACTGTACATGTACTCCATTTTGTGTTGTTATTTTCCACTATTTCTGTGCTGCATTAATATTTAACTAGATTAATAAACGTCTCAACCTCCAATTAGTTCAGTGACTGTGATTTTTGCTCCATTTGTGTGTCTGCTGTGTGTTTGTGTATTCTCCTTTATGCCTACATGTACAAGTATGCAGTCATCTACCAGACTGCCAGTAATTCTTTATGATTTCAAACATTTCAGTTCTGTCAGGATGGCTTCAAATTCTTCGAAGCTTTTTACACTTGTGGACCCAAACTCTTCTTCCTTCTCCTCATCACTCTGGATATCAGCCAGGGATGTAGAGGGTCAACCCAAGGATTCAGAAATCTTCCTCTCTCCGACCCCCATCCTGCCACTGGTCAGCCGTACGCACATGCCTGTACTTCACCAGTCATTCACCTGCTCGGGAAGGTTTGATCCACCCTGAGAGTTGGCATGATGGTGTCAAGACTTGGGAAGGAAGGGCCAGCCAAGCACGTAAAGGTTGCTTCCGTGGGAAAGACCATCTATGTTGGAGAAAGAGAGGCCGGCTTGTAAATTTCTCTATTGTTGTTAGAGCAGTGCTGTATTTTGTGTCATTAGTATTTTCACCATTTTCAAGCATATTTCAACAGTTAATAAATGTCATAACCTTCAGGACTTCATTGACAATTTTACATTTTTTCATTTTTGTGTCTTCTCCTTTACACCCATCAGGCCCAACCATTCATGATTTTGAACCTTGAAGTCCCGTAAGAGTACTGTAGCAGCAAGGTTATTTGCAACTCCTAAAACTAGTAAATCTCAAATGTCATTTCTCTCTCACCCTGTTGCTCTTGAGATCAGTCAAGGATAGAGCCTGATTGTTTTTGGTGGTTGGTGATTTATCAACAAGAAGTTCTGGGGGAAATGTTAACCTCTTCGCTATGGAGGACTGCTACTACCATTAAAGGTCTCTCGTGCACTTCATCTGTCCGACCAGGAAACCTCAATCCGTCCTTAATCTGATGAGGGAGAAGCAGTTTTGCCCAGAAATCACCCAAGTCAGTGCTGTATTTTCGCCCTAGCATAGTAGCCAACCATGAGCTGACAAAGGGAGACGTTGCCAAGGATTACGAAGAAAGGCCGTCCAAGCATATGAAGATTTTTTCCTCGACAGAGAAGACCATCTGCAGCACCCTCCTGAAGGGAAAGTTGGTTCATGAGGTGGTTCCCCACCAGCTGTGTACATGTACCGGTACCTGCAGCCATCTGATGGAAAGTACATGTACACCCTCAGCAGAGGAAGGCAGAAACTTCAAACTTGCGTGTACAAGTAAGAAGAATCAAAGCTTGGAATTGATTTACCCAAATTGATGACTTTGGATAATTTTAGATAAGTGATTTATAACATTTACATTGTACACGTGTATACAGTGTTGTTACAGTAAATTGGAAAAGTTGTGCTGTATGTTGACTTCTAGAAACTCATGTAAGTTAAAGATTAAACAATTGTACAATTTCTTATTAATTACTCTATTGTAACATGGTACGATTGACCAAATGAGATACATGTACATTGTGTTTTGTAAAGTACACATGTTGTGTACATGTACAGTAGTGATCTTGTTGTTTGTCTCTGATCAATAAACCATAACAATGATTGTTCTTTAACTTGAAATCATGTGTCACTGCAAGTGATCTATCGTGAGGCTGCCTCGTATTTTCTGAAGTTGATTTTACAGTCGAGATACAGACTTACATACATGTATGGTATTTGTACGTTTTGTCAGAATAGCTGCAAATTCTTTCATTTGAATCAGTTGGATCCAGGCTATTCTGCAGAAATGTCCCACTTTCCAACCTCATCCCCCATTTGTCCACTGTTCTTCAATCAATCCTTGATCTGTGACATCCGTCCTGAATCTGATGAGGAAAAATGAGCTTCTACTTCCAGCTCGACATTCATCCAAGTGACATCAGTGCAGCTCATGAGCCCTGGCACAGCAGCAAGCTACCTGCAAGAACTAGCAGGTTGCCAAGGATGAGGAGGAAAGGCCAGCCAATTTGCCTCCTTAATGGCGGCAAAAGATGGTCAGCAACACTCCCCTTGAGGGAAAGACGGTCATTGAGGAAGGTGCTCATCAGACGTGTAATAAACAGGTACACATTCTCCCACGCTGTAGTCGTGGGGACATACATTCGACATTTCACCTACAGTATTTTGTGGGGACCAAAAACATTGTGGGGACTAAGAAATGTCCCCACATTTCAAATTTCCCTAACAAAAGAACTTGTCCCCTGAACACAGTGCATGCCCACCCATGTACATGTACTGCAGCCTGTTGATGCTAGTGAACACTTACGTGTACATGTACCTTGAGCATGTGGAAGGCACAACTTCATGTACATGATCATGTATGTAGTTCAAACTATTGAATCAGTCTTTTCAAGAGGCACAAGTTTAAATTGATCTAGTCGAGTCAATGTCCTTGGAATACTCAATTATAAATCCGGTATTTATTACTTATGAATTTTATTTACTGGTACATGTACATGTAGTTCTGTTGTATAGCAGCGGTCTCTGCCTTGGGATGAGTCTTATTTGCAGCAGCGCAGCACGGACGAGGTCACACTTCGAAGGAAGGAGAGACACGTCCTCTCTATTTGGTGCCGCACACAAGACTATCGCACCACGGGCGGTGGCCAAGCCACTGCACGTGATGGACACGCTTGGCTGGTTTATTGATGCATATTCAACATCACTACGGTTCTTGATTCAGTTGACAATCATGTTACACATACACATGTACATATACCAATATTTTGTAATCAAGTTGTTGTAGTTATCTGTTTTAAGTTTTGGTAAAGATTTATGTCTGATAAAGATGGTGAAAAGTTAATACTTCAATGATTTATCACTGGGGAAAACCAACAACATGGATTGTTGTATGAAAACCGGCGTCATACCGGTGCAGTATGGGTAGTGAAGTTTCCATTTTAATTACAGGTACATACATGTACTGTACATGACCAGTACTCTCATATTGCTTTCAAACCTGTACCCAAAAAAATTGTTCACACAGTAAGCCAGACAACTGTCTTTAGAGAAAGATGAGCCCCTCTGTGGAAGTGGACAGTACATGTGCATATTATTACCCTCCCCTTTCATTTCCAAATGCAGTGGACAGATTTACTGGGTACCTTTTGTACCCCCCAGAACTATGGGGGTTTGTTGTCTGCCCCACTCTCATGAGTGCGGTGGACAATGAACCATGCAGCCTTTCCCCCCCACCCCCGTGTTTTTTTTAATCTCTTTACAATGCATACGGTACGTGTACATGTATTGATGTTTAAAAGCTACACCCATATAGTTTGAAAAATAAATGTCAACTTGGATGAGTTTATTGGTGATATTTCTATTCATTTGTGTCAGTCACATTGTGTGGAAGCTATATTAACGAAGTGCATTAATCACCAGCACTATGACACAGGAGCATGTGTTGGGATGTTATGGCTCTTATTATAAATGTCCCTTGTGGCCTGCAGAGGTCCTTGTTTATTTTTCAAATTTTTTAAGTTGCAAAAATGTGCATGCCCACGAAGTGTCATGTACTGTACAGACATGTACTGGTACAGTACATGGGCAGGCCTTTAAGGCCTTTTGGAGGACAGTAACCTCTTTGATATTTGATACCTCTTTATTAACAGCTGTAATCCAATTCAAATCCATTCACCGTGTTCTCAGAAACCGTGTACCACTGTGAGCTTTATTGAGATTTCTCTGTATTAAGTTTCTCTGATGTCAGCGTATATATCCTGTGTTCCCAATCTTCCACTACCCTGTATATGAGCAGCCTGCAGCCTAGTGCCCTGTTCATGTATTGAGCCCTTTGCTGTACGACCTGCTCAACTGTGAGTGTTCATTTTGGGGGGAAGTAGAACCAATCACAAAACAAAAGCATTTACTCTTTCTGGTCATATGGTCATGTACTTGCATCTGTCATGGGTGTGCATTAACTAAGTTGAATCTTCAACCCCAGATAAGCTGATGTTGCTGTTTTTCTTTGTGAATGAAAAAATGTGAGAGGATTCAAGATACCCCATTACATTGGAAAGACCCACATACACAGTATAAGTTGCAGTACAGACATATATATTGGTGTACCGGTGCATATTTCAGTCATCACTTGTCACTAGACCATATTCGGTCTCAGCTTAGTACCTTTATGTATTCAGATGAATTGTGAATTGCCTCAGTACTTGAATCTTTGAGGGCCTGTAGAGTACCGAAGTGAATACGTCACGCGCACAATTAGTGTATATAAAGGCACGAGTGCGTGAACCAACGCGCGCGTACTCCATTCGTTTGCACTGCGCTTTCTGGTTTACAGTGACGTCTTTCTTCAGTACTCGATATGATTTGTCTATTGCATGAGTACTCTAAATCATGGAGTTTTGGTCTTCTTTCATGGATGCTTTACATGAATATTGAAGGCCGAAGTGGGATGTACTGTAAGACAGATGCGAAACAGCCTGTCATGTAACGTGTGCCCTTCCACACAATGACTTGTCACCTGACTGCAAATTTGAACACCTTGCTTATCAAATGTCGAGCTCAAAACATTTGACATGTGTATTCCTCTAAATATAGGTGTGAATTGTCAGTTTTGCTTGAGGGAATTGATGCATTCATCTGTAACCATTCATCCATCACCACATATTATAAGAAAAAACACTGAATTTCATTTTGTAATGTGAATCCACGGTAAGAAAGCTACTTTCACCATGTTTAATGTGTAAAAGCAAGTTCCAAATTGTTCATACCTGTACATGTAGCTGAATATGATTTGTTTTCTTGAGGAACAACCCCAAACAGTACCCGTGGATGTTGTAGAGGCTCAGTTGAGCCGCCAACACTAACAAGTAATATTTCGGCAAAACAAACAGGTATTCTGAATGTGGACCAGACGTCGGCTTCGCTGGCCGATATCGTCCAGCATTTGGAACGGATGTACTGTGGCAGGATGTCTGTGGAACTCATGCATCTACCGGTAATGCTCATGTGCCGTGTATGGGGTACATGTAGTTGTACATCATTCAGAAACTTTGGAATCCGAATTACACTGTAGTTCTTGTCCAGTGTCTCTTCCTACCTTACTCTAGGTACTGTACTGATCCTTGTCTGGAATCTTAAGAATTCCGCATGGAGACTCCAAAAAGAATTCAGCATTGGAAAGAAAGTCTGTGTACAGTGCCTGGCCCTGTGTCTGAGCTGCATGAGAATAAATTAAGAGTCATCCCTTTTTTTGAAAATTCTTCTTAAAAATGAACTTTCTCCCTGAACATTTCAATTGTCCCATGCTGTCGATGGCGATCGAACTGTGCAGTGTCTATGATGTCACCTGAAGTACTTAAGTGCAGGGGCTTTTAGTATAAACTGTGTACCACATAAGAGCAAGTTCAAAACCACATGTACTTTGTGCATGAAATTTGTTCGATGAATAACTTGTGAACGTAGTCAAATCCCACCCTACCAAGAAAAAAAAAGAAGTGATACCCTCTGTCAGTCTGGCAACATTTGTGATGCTATGTGATGCAGCCATACTTATGCTTCTTCTGAGTGTTATCACAGTTTGTACTGATTAATATACATGTACAGTGTACATACATTGTTAATCAACAAAGAAGTTCAAAAAATGTCATAAGGCAAGGTAAGTGGTACTCAAGAGGTGAAGGAGTGCGTTAAAAATTCTAAAACTTGGGCTCGGGCGAGTCATACTAGGAATTACGGTAGCAGGCACAGTACACGCATAAAACAGTAAAAGACTGCTCTGCCACCTTTGCCAGTGTTTGTACACATGAGCAGTGGTGTTGATTGCTCACTCAAATAATAGGCTGAAGCCTGAGTTTTCAAAGCCCATTAACCACCTACAGGTTTGTGGGTGGGGGTGTGTCCTCTGCCGTCGTCATGGCTCAACCACCAATGTCTGTGAGCATTGGTCAACAAATGCAGCTGTGTAATTCTGTATAACATTGCCAGTACTGTACAATTTAATAAAAAAAGCCCCCCCTCCCCCCAAAAAAATATAAAAGGGAAATTGCTGTGGAGTAAAGCTACTGAAATTCCGGAAATAAAATCAATCTTACTGTGCGTACATGAAGCAGTACTGCTTGAAAACCTGTGAGAAAGAAATTTGCAAGATGGCCCTGGTGGGACTTGAGTTCACCCAGGACCTTCTGTGTACAATGTACTTGCACAGGTGTAAAATTGCACAACTCATTACTCATTACACCAGTGCAACTGACCAGATGACATTCATTCATTTATTGCTGGTTTATTATGACCCTGGCGAGCTCAGTGATACACGTTTTGGACGGCATTGAGTGTGACTAGACAAAACCAAATATTCAAAATGCAGCCTTGTGTCCCAATCACAAATTCTAGCCTTTCAAGGCAGCCCATAGGTAACTTTTGCTTTGCACTGTAGGACTGCTAACAAATACCCTAGCCCGGCTGGGAGCAGTGGGCACCATAACCCTTGTGTACTGGACCATGTGGCTGTTCGTCTTGAGCACCTTGTATTACATGTACATGTACAGTTCTGCTTCTTGACCACAGCTTTGGCCTTTAAAAAATACTGTTAATCTTGGGCGCCTCCATCTTGCCATGAAGAGTGCAGGCCCCTTTCATAAACCCAGTTGACTCATGACTCCCCAATGTTGTTTGTACGTGACAAGTTGTCCTTATTGAAATTTTGGCCTTGTTAGTCAGAAGTTTAAATTTAAAAAAATGTTAGGGGGCCCGGCGTTTGCAATCCTAGCATACTCTTGTATTAATTCTGCTAAGATTTAAACGTTGTTTTGATCTGTATTTGATAAATAAAAGTTCGGAGGGCTCTATAGCTGCACTGTTGCTTGACGTTTACTGCAAAGGATGGTGGGTAATGGTGGGAGAGATTCTAAATGCATCCTAAATCCAGGAATGTTACTTGTATTGTTTGTAACGAAAAAAAAACAACCACAAAACAGGAAAATTAGAAAGACGGTACTCAAGCAAATCTTACCAACTAAACATTGTTTATCCTTTCCATGTGCATTGAGGTTTCACATATGGTTGCTGTGCTGATTAATGACATTCACTTGGCAATTATACATGTAAATTAATATGTGGGTCATTCTGTAGATTAGGGGTCCACAATTGTTAATGTCCCTGTCACATCTGACATACTGGTTAGCGGTGGTATGATTACATAAGTTCAGAACACATTCTCTAATTTCCAAGAGTGATTAATTAATGGAAATCACCTGCCAAACAAATACAACTACATGTAGTTTGAAAACAATTTAGGTGACATTTCCATGTCAAATTACACAGGTGTGTCAGGGACACAAATTTGTCACACTTTTGAACCCTGAATTTATAGAATGAACCCTGTTTTCTCACGTTCGATATCATGAACTGCCTTCATGGTCAGGTCCTTGGAAACTTGCTTTACTTTTGCTCACAGATTCTGACAAAAATATGGACAAAAAGGGTTGTTTGTATGTTGCAAAATGTGTGAGGCAAAAGACATCAAACGAGACTGTACCAGTACTTGATGAATGTAAATGTAGGCCACCTGCCAATTTATGTGTACATTTTCAGTCCCTTCTGTACGGACATCGATTTACCGCGTTCCACTCCTGTACATTCAAATGTACACAATTTTCACAACCTACTTCATATAGGACCACTTGTACATGGAAAATGCACACACAGATATGGACAGGTGTGTTAGTTGTGAGTACAGTTTAAAAACATTAGGAAAGATGAACTGAAAATGCGTGTTGGTGTTTGAAAAAAATTCTGAATGAAAAAACCAGATAACACGTTTGGTCTCAAGATATGTTTGCTTATAGTCATTCATTGTCACTTGGATCAAGTATGATTTTAATTTTTCCCTGCGCACATCTCCCTTTTTTCGGCAGACGATAGCAGAGAGGGAATGGTGTGCCCAACGATATGAGGAGCTGCATCAAATGGTCCTCTCAAATCAGGCTAAGACCGAACTGGCTGTGCTATTGGCCAAGGCACAGGTACCGTAGGCATCTCCCAATTCCCTGCATTTTTATAGCATAACACCCAAACTTGGAGCAAGTTCGCTTTAAGGAGGAATGGTATACCCGTTTATACTCATGGAGCTGTGAATTAGGTATTGCATGTACGGTGTCCGTAACGCAAGTCCTGTTAAATGCGTGGTTCGATAGAGGTTCACGAAGATTTATATGTGAAAAGCATTCAGGGGCACTGCCTCATCCCCAAAATTGTGTGCGGTAAAATTCACCAGAGCTTTTCAGGTTGTTTGCAAACCTTTTTAGAGGTACAGAATAAATTCCAAATGTTGCGCCCTTCCGCCCAAATCGACCTAAGTCGTAAAAAATGCCAAATAACATGTACTGTACGTGCATTGTTATATGAACAAAAGCAACATGCATTCTTTATTCTTTGACTCGAGTTAAATGTGCCTGTGCTATTGCTCATGGGATTGTACCAAACAGAATGAGTCCATAGTTTCACATCAGACAGACAGTTTTGTAAGTTTATAATAATACAAAGGGTAAAATGCAGTCCTGTCACATCACACCTTGGCATTTTGCCTTATTTTCCTCATATGCCAACTTTACAGAACATGTACTTTGATCCTTAGTCTTATTTGGCCAAAGCAGTACTGTTGTGTCATCACAACTTGCTGAGGACATGCTGTAGCATTTGGCTCATTGAGAAATAGCTTTCAAGTTTCAGCAGTTACCATATCCATTCAAACACTAGCACCCCCTTTCATCATTGATGGAAAATGTCTTCCTTGGGGGAGAGGCAAAGAGTTCACTTCACTTGCCGTGTAACGTACATGTATGGAACCTCATTTCTTGCAGGCTCTGGAGAATTACATGGCCGTTAAGTTCACCACTGTCAAGCGGTATGGCGGAGAGGGAGCTGAGAGTTTGATTGGCTTCTTCAACCAGCTGCTCAGACAAGCTGCACAGTGTGAGTTGCTCAGTGCACTGTGCAACGTTGACTATGGAATGGGTCTTGCATATTCCTTCATGGCCTCAATAGTGTTGTGACACACCTACTGGTATCATATTGAGAAAATTGAAAAGAGAAATTTTTTATATTCAGGTATAAAAGTTTCTCGACCTGCAACGTCATTAAAAACAATTGTTCAATTGTTGGAGTACTCCTTGCCCACAGTTGGAGAGCTGGTTTGGATCATTCTGATAAAACGCTGTGAAAACAACGAGAAGTCAAAGTTGCCTCATTTTGCAAAAGTGATGATGCTGGAATTGCCCTGCTGCGTCTGTTAATGTATAAATGTCATGAAATAATTTTCTTGACATCTGCATTCTGTACTCAGCCGACCTGGAGCAGATGATCCTGTGCATGCCCCACCGAGGCAGGCTCATTCTGCAGGTGGGTCTGTTGCAGGTACCGGCCACTCTCGTCTTCAGGAAGATGAGCGGTCTCCCCGAATACCCATCATCCTCCAAGAACTGCACCGGTGACATCCTTACCCATTTGTGTGAGTGACAGACACCTTGCAAGTCACAGCCTCCCCCTATTTCATATCAATATCCAAATGCAGTAGAACGTCAAGACAAAGAGTACTGCTTATACAAGGTTCCTGTCACAACAAGGTAGTTTGTAAAATCCCAAGGACCTCATATTAACGAGGTTTGACTGTACATGGCAAGAGGCATGTTGGGTGAAGGGTAAGCCAAACAGGGTAAGACCTATATGTACATGACATGTGTATATTTTGATATCTTATGTTGCTTATTGCTACACACGTAGGCACCTTTTGCAGGAATACGTGTGTCATTGTGGGCTAGTGTCAAATTTTACCGCAAAATGTACATCTGTTTACTCTTTGTCAAAACTACACAACATGTCTGCTGTTTCCATTGGTATTGAGTTTCATGCACAGTACTTTGTCACCGATCGAGTAAAACCAACACTCTTAAGGACATCTTTTTCTGGCAAAGGATAGACCGGATGGTGGAAAGCGCTTCGAGTACCAAATGGACATGCGCTATGTGCATATGCACACAAGCATCAAGTTCCCATCCAGAGGACTATCACTGCTATGTAAAAGCACATCATCTCTTGTTTCTGGTCTGAGCAGATATCTACACTGCTTTAATAAGCTCTTTCCCTTTGTAGGGAAGATCATCTGTTATTCATTTGCCAAACTCGCTTTTTTTCCGGCATTCAATATTGGACCATCTGTGTTTTTTCGGAACTTTTTTTAACTTTATATATCCAGACCAGTCTGTTGACTTGGAGTACGATACTGGTAGGCTGCATTTCACCATGATACCCAACCCATCACATCTGGAGGTAAGGTCATCTCAAGAGTTCAGCCATCCTCCGTCCCCTCCCCCATACAAACCACTTCTGTCAACAATGGACCTTACGATAGATATATAGGGTTTTCAGTTAGAATTGAGCATTTTATTTTCAAACCGTACCCTTCAGCCTTCACCTTGTGTAATTTTATCTACAGGTCACTCTCATATTGCCTACTATTCCAGTGGTTTGCCAAAGTTTGCTGACATATCACCTTTAGTTGGTGTTAGATTTTACCAAAAACAGTTCGTGTGTCCCATTTCTTTTTGAGACGGCATATTTTCGTACAACATGTAGCGGAAGTGTTAATTGCTTGTTCAAGTCTTCGTTTTTGTACTGATGGCTAGCAGCCAGCCATTTATAGGCAACAATACGACTGACACGTGAAAAGAGCACACCCTACATGTATAAGAAGCTATAAGGGTGTGTCCTCCTATTACCAGCAGTACTGTCTTGTAGCAATTACAGCTTTGTCTTCATCTGCCATTGGTAAATGACAGCACAGAACATTCTTTATTGAAAAATAGAGCCATGTAGAGGAAAAGTTCACTAAAATACTCAATATGTTCATTTCTAAGGACACTAAGACCAAGGTAATGCATGTCTGTGCTGACGCGAAATTTCTGGCATGGTATCAATCAAATGATGATATCCGCAGATTAGAGCAGTCACTTCTCACTCCTGCCGGTTGGTCAGGTTTACAACTCTTACTGTTGGATTCATTCCGTCAGGCAAACCTGCCCGTCTGCATGGGGAAGGTTCGCTCGCGCCAGCAGTCGCTGCGTGAGGGGGACTACAGCCTAGAGGAAGGGTCGTCAGTGGGTGACAAAGTCCTGTGCGTGCATGTCCACGGAGATGCTGCTTACGCTGCCCAGGTAACGTGCCCCGATGCAGGAGGAAACCTGTCCCGCCCATGTCATTTGCTTTAGCAGTCATTAGCCAAAATACAATGACAGAATGACCCTGTAAGATCTTATGATGCATCCGAATTTACTAAGCAGTAGAAGGTAATGAGCACATGCCCGTGGGATCAGGATGTACAGTGCATTAGCTGCAAGTTGGCAGGTGTAGTTATTACCGGTCAAAGCCAAAGTCAAGTGTACATGTCAGTGTAAGTTGTCACAAGACCAGTCGTAAGTGTTTGGATGAACAGTGAGAAAGGAATGCTTTTGTCACAACTCGTTTGAAGATTTTGTGACCGGATTTACTTGTGGAGGACTGTCAGGGACTTGTGATGATAGGTTCAAATGGAACACTGCAAATGTGGAAGAAGCCTGGCGACCCGAGCATCTGCATCGTTGCCTTTGTCGCTTACAAAGCAGTGTCTACTCATTGTAATATTTAGGCAAATGGCTGGTACATTTTGTTTCTTTTTGTATATGAGAAATGGCAGAATATCCAGTGGCTTATTTACCATTGCAGTTTGCCTGTCACACGAGGCCAAGCCTTCATTTTAATGGGTTCATGACTAACAAATGAATTGCCGTGTATGGCATTGCAGTAGATCAAGTCTGAAATTGGTTCTGTAAATTTAATTGAGCTGATCAAACATGTTGTATCTTAAGAACACAGTTCCTACACTACAGGAATTACTTTGCAATTCAAATCAGGGGTATACTCAAAATCACCCAATGGTAGCATATGATCCCCTTTGACCTGCCATGAGGAATTGTGCCATTGGACTTTAAAATGTACAGTGTACATGCACAAGCCATTTGCCTCTTGTGTCATATTGACAGTGACGCTTTCCATTTTGTCATTTTGGGAATGTGCAGGGTATGGCCAGCGAAATCCAAGCTCTTGCAGAACTCCCCCATTACAACGTTGGAGGTGCCATCCACCTGGTGGTCAATAACCAGTTGGGCTTTACCACTCCGGCTAACCGGGGGCGTTCCTGCATCCACTGCACTGACATTGCCAAGCTGAATGGGAACTTAGTCCTCCATGTAAATGGAGACTACCCCGAGGTAAGACCACCTTCCGCAAGGAGCCATTTGCGGGTAAAAATTAAATTATGTTCAGGACCTCTCGCCTTCCAATTGGAACTCCCACAGTCACACCGGAATTCACCAGACTAAGACAGTTTTTGTTACTGGGGAGCCGTGTCTTTCACTGCATTTCACCTCTGGAACCTGTTTTGCTGCAATGAGGGCATTGCCATGTGCCGCCAAGACGTTGGGATGGAGAGGCCTTTATGGAAGTGCATTATGGGAAAATGGTTGAAAGAACTTCTTTGCGCTGGCTGCGATAAGCACTAGGAGCTTGAATTGTGCGGCTATTGTTTGACTGGGCTGAAGATTTGAAGTGTGCTGAGAGTAATGGCATTACTTGATACAATCTGGTGGTGGTTGTAAGGCATGGAAATGCCCCAATCAATCACACATTTCCTCGGAATGTCCACTGACATTTGCTCAAATCCAAATCTTGGCAAGTCGGCCATTGTTTTATCAAAATGGCCGCTCCTTGACAACTTTCTTGTGGTGCATTGTATGTGTGAATTGCCCATGTTGCCTGCATTCATCGGCATGTCTGCGCCTTTTTTTTTAATCACACTGGCACGTTTTATGTACTTGATTTTCCTTTTACTCAGGAAGTAGTCAAGGCCGGTCAGTTTGCCCTGGAATACCAGCAGAAGTTTCGGCGCGACGTCTTTGTCGACCTGCAGTGTTTTCGTCGTCTAGGCCACAATGAGGTGGATGATCCATCCTTCACCCAGCCTACCATGTACAGCATCATCCGTAGCAGAACCAGTGTACCTGACCTGTACCTGAAGGAGGTCACTGTAAGCAAAGACATTTGATTTATGGTGACTTAAAAACTATATTTGTAAATACCATTAGACAGTTTAAACTAACCCATTGGTCCATGTTGTGGGTCTTAAATGATTTGATTGAAGCACCTTTTCACTGAAGGCACATACCATAACAAGGCTATATCATGTACATGTGGATGGATGTTTGAAAAAAAGTTGAATTGTGGAACAAAATCATTGGAAATTTATTGTCGGTTTCACTCTATGCCATTAGCCAGGTTATCTCTGGCTTATTGAAAAATGTAGCCCCCAGATTACCTGGGTAATTCGGAGTGTTCACTCTGCTCTTCTTGGGGTTAGAAATTTTCCAGGTTATCTGCCTCAAAACGTCACTTACCTGGGTAATTTTTTAAGCCCACTTGCGAGGTGGGTAAACCCACCATTCTGGGAGGCATCGAGAAAATTTTCCAGGTTACCTTTGGCAGTGTGAATGCTTGCCAGGTTTCTTCAACCCTGCTTTTTTTTGTCAAATAGACAGGACAGGGCACATGCAGCCAGCACTGCCTTACATGGCTGGGTGCGTGCTGCCAATGTCCACCATGGCTGGTATCTTCCCATAATAACATTATTTTTACATGTCATACCAGTATGGAGGACACCCGTCTATTTGTCCAGTAACTCATCTTTCAGAGTTTGTTTTATGTATACTATTTGCAAGGCACCAGTGTTGACTTCATGCTGCATGAGTGAACATTAATGTAAGTGACGCATGGTCGAAGGTTTTTGTTTGTACATTGTGTGTGTACACATATGTTTTCTTCGCCAACTTTGAAGAAAATTCGAAAGAAGTACATATACAATCAATGCTAGGGTTTCCAACCCCATGACAGGTGCCAGTTTGCTATGATGCTGTAGTGAGTGCTATGGATTGTGGAATGTTGATGGTCGAGCATGCACGAGGGTACTCGATTCTGCAGGTTGCCGCTCTTGCAGTGTGAACTTTGTTCTAGCCAGGCGTTCAAAAGCATATCGGGCCAATACGCTGAGCAAAAACCCTGACACCCTGAAAATCGCCCGATACGCAATCGATTCGTTTCTATTTTCCAGGGGAATGCTGATATTACGTTTAAGAAACATTGCAATTAAAGATCTGAAAAAAAAAAAAATCTTCAAAAACCCCGACAAAAAGTTACCAGAATATTGGCAAAATGCACTGAAATCGAACGAAACTTCCACAACGCGACATAGTAAACACGTCGTACACATGCACAAGTTTTCACAGCTCTGTGGAGACATCACCTATGCACGGCATGCACAATTCTGATTTCCGCCACGCGCCGCTGACCAATTTACAGCAGGAGTAGACGGTTAGGAGCCAGACTACAACACATGCCACGATGGCATGGCTGGCAGTACGGTAGATACCCAAACCCTTCAAATTGTATCGCCTCGAAAACTGTCAAAAGCAAGCTACAACTTATAACTTGTCACAAAACTTGGTCTTCGTCTCTCTGTAGTTTCCTCTAATGCATAAATTTATATCTGTGGTTATTTTGATATGCTTGGTCGTGGTTCATGAGGACAATTATTTGTAAGACTGTGGCACACACACGGTGTTGGTGGCCAGTGCATGCATAGTACTGTACCACATGGCAGCCCATCCATACACAGTCATGTTGTGTTTTCGTGTCCATACTGGGTATCTTCTGTAATGTGGAACAGCTCTAGCATTTTTCTCATATTTTCGGTATCGTTCATCATTCTCATTTATGTTTTGGCTGTGTATCTTCATTATTTTAAGACCAAACTTTTTACAATTTTCGGCACAAACATCTAACCTTGCAATATCGATGATGAGAATAAGTTTGGACTGATGGTAAATTATATTCTTTTGGACAGAAGTTTTAGAGCTCGGCAAGAGAGTACAAACGATGGTAGGGGCCTAGGTGAATGAAGTTAATTTTTAAGTAGGCATGACTGTTTTTGTATATGTAGAATAATGTTGAGTCCAAGCCCCAAGAAGCTATTCAGATTGAAGTTTTTCAAAGTGAAATGAAAACCAAGGTTCACTGTGTAGGCCTGTCAAGCTTGTTTTGTATGTAACCCTGGCCCTATTAAGGTCCAGGTTACTTACATGTGACATGTATGTGTCATTGTGTATATATCCCTGTGTATGTTAGACTCCCTAGTTCTTCCTTTAAGATCATTTCCTTTTCTTTAGGTTTTTAGATACTTTTGTGTCTGCTTATATATAAAAAAATACATCTTAAAAATACATCTTGATTTGTGTCTGCTGTCAGTAGCCTTTAATGCCTGTGTGATTTATGGCTCTTTCCCTTGTCAACTGGGTGGGTTGACTGACCCCTCACTCATTGTCCTCTTTGGGGTCACCTACGGGTAAGAGCCAGCTACCCTAAACTTTCTAAGAGTGCCATGTCGGCACAAAAATACATTTTAGCCAGGGACCACATTGTATATCGGCTGGTCCTCCTCCTGCCATATCACCACTTTATGAACTAGCCAGCCTACGGCAAGCACTGCCGACCTTTCCACTCCACTATTTGAGACATCTCTTTGCTCCTGGCATACAATTAGAGAAATCTGACTGGAGCCTCCTATTGAGGATCCTAATTTGTTCTGTTCAATTTGATTGGAGTGTCTGTTTCATCTCTCCACGCCTGAGTGCCCTTGATGTGAATGTTGGCTCTCTGTTATGGGTGAGCCCGAAGTTTGTTCCTTTGATTTCATTTTGTTTTGTAGTCTAATGAAAAGTTATCTGTTTGCCATTGGATTTTGACGTTATTGGAATTGACAAAAAGGAGATGAGCTGTCATGAACCTGCAATTAGCAATTTATTGTTTCATGAGCAGGAGTTCTAAAAGATTGATAGTGCATGGCAGCAGCGAGCAGTCAATTCCTCAGGCATGTTAAATTTTTTCAGCCGAGGCTTCTACGGTTTGTCTCTCTGAATATTTTCCAGGATTTGAGGAAGTATTAAGATGCATATTGCTTGAAAATTAATATACGTTTATGTTTCTTTGCCTGTTGAATTCCCAATGCCGACTTTCCAAGAGGAAACTGAATTTGAATGCGTTTGATGGCTACCAGTGCTCTAGGATTATGTGATCATACAGAATAGATTTTATGCTAGTTATCCTTTACATCAGTTTATGATTACTGGATTTGGCGAGTTGTCATTTTTAGATCAATTTGAGAATTTTGAATTTCTTTTGAGGATGAGGCCTTAACCAAAAAGTTGATGAGTGGCTTTTATATTTTACTCCTGGTGTTCATGGGCTGAAAGTTTACAGGATGATGTTATTATTAGCATTGTGTTGTGGTGGGAACTTAATTACGATATGCTTGTGTGTGTTATTGTAGTTTTCTGTAAGATTTTATGTGTCAGTCAAGAAACAAGACAAGTTCAAATTGCTGGTGAAATAATGTATCAAGCAGAGTTAATGCCCAGAGACCAAACCAATCACCTGTATAATTAGAGTTGGCCTTGTGCACTGGTCACTTGGTCTGTGGCTGCTTTGATCTGGTTTTAGTAATCCCATGAGGATTCCACAAGGGACTGTTTTATTTCACCACGGCTAGATTTTCTATTTGCCCTTCTGTATTAATGGGAGTAAATATACCTGCTGGTCAACAACGTCCACTGTATTCCCATTATATCAATCATGATTATGGAATGGACCTGCTCTCTGTTATTCACCACAATTTGCCACTTTGGCTGTATGCCCTGGGACTGCCAGCTACTGGCACCAGAGGCATGCAACGCTGGGCACCCAAGACACCCTGATTTGAGCCTTGAGGACAGCCCAAGGTCCTGTGTCCTGTGGAGTGCGTACATGCAGCCTGAACTTGTTACTGCGGCTAGGCACCGGATGGACACTTAACTGTTGAGGTTGAATGAGAGCCATACTCCCAGTCCTAGACTGTTTATTGTATTTTTGTTTTCTGAGCTCAGTTTATTTTTCCAAGTTTTGATTTTTTTATGTATATACATATTTCTTTTCCATCAATTACTAAAGTGATTTTTCCCATTTCATGACAAATAAGCAAAGCATAGTCTTGAGTGTATAGCCTATATCCTGTGCTCCAAGGGAGTCATTTCAAGTATTTGATTCCTGCAATTTGGAGAGAACCTGGGGTTACATATAGTTATTTTTCATTGATTCACATAAAACCAATTTCGTAACATGGAACTTCTCAAACAAGATCAAGCAAATCTGCGCATGTAAAATACAATTGTGCAGTAATGAAACATGGATCAGATATCCAATAGTTTATTGTACATTTACCCCTTTGCTTAGCACAAGCACTACAAAACACAAAGCAAAGCCCTCCCCTCCCAAAAAGGAGAGAAAAATGGTAGAAGTCTCTCTCAAAATGATAATTGCTTTTTACAGTGACTGAATCGGGGTAATGGGAACTTAAAACAAAGCTGTTATATTTAACGTAATAAAGGTTAAACACTGCCCTCAGGTGTCAAATAATATCAGCCCCTCCCCCCCCATCAGGCAAATCAGGCAGATGCCCCTATCCTTTAATTTCATCTTGGCTAGAACGCTGAGTGTGAACATGGCCCAGTTTTGTTGTGTGAAACCGATTCTCCGGTTTAGTCTTTACCCGGGTGTGAACAACTACCCAGGTAATTAATTACCAGGGTAAGTCCACATCAGTGTGAAAAGAGCTTATCATTCTTAACTTATTTTGACTCTCTGACTAATGAAAGGGAATAAAATATGTGCTTGACCAGTCTTAAAGCTTCACTGAGATCAGCTCAGGAGAATTTATCCTGATAGTATCCTTCATTACTGGCTCATCACGTTCGGTGCCCTCTCATGCAGTACACACCAATCTTGTTTAGGCCTACTCACAAGTGACACATACTATAATATGGTTATAGTGATGTTGATAAGCATCAGGGGCTTCAGGAGGCAAACTGGGGATAATCCAGAATGAAGTTGCCGTATTGTGTTCCTCATTTGTAGAGTTGGAGATGATGTGCAGCCCTGCAATCACTTCATTTTCCATGGTTGCTTGAAGTGATGACACTGAAACAACCGAGGAAAAAGATTGCTTTTCGAATTATTTTCTAATTGTTCACACTCACAAGGTTCTTTGATTCAAAGGTTCACTCATGAAAAGTTCTTCACTTCAATTATTACTTAATTAGATGTGTGGTACGTGTACATCTGCATGTAGGTTGACCCTGTCAGTCAATCTTATACTAAAACATCAGCGGGATCTTTATAGAGCCGTTTCTGTTGAAACTGAAAGCTGCATAATAGTCAATGTGGTTATTTGTCTGCAGAAGTCTTTGAAATCTGCTGTATCCACCCAATACGGCTGTTTCACAATAGTGCGCCACCAAGGGTTTGCAAGCGTTGGCCAATCACAATGCGCGAAATTCGTCGACCCAGTGCGTGTTTGGAAAGGGCCGATAAATTTCCAGCGTTACGATTGGCCAACGTGTTGTAAACTCTTGATGGCGCTCTATTGTGACTCACCCGTATTTGAGACTCCAGCTTTGAAAAACTTCACTACCTTGATTCTCGTGTAGTGTGATCGTATTTCTTCCGTGCCTACAAAATATTTTTTGACAGGACGGTTCAGGGTCTAGCCACTAGAAGGGAAGATATTAGATTTATAATTTAGCTGGTTTGTCTGACTGCAGCTGTGGGGTGTGTTGACAGAGAAATGATTGGAATTTTGGAGAGACCATGCCATGACTGTCATCTCCTAATTACACGTACACATGTAGGCCTACATGTACCAATACAGTGAGGAAAAGAGGCAGTCAAGCAGCTTTAATCATCTCCAGGGGTAGTTGACAATGAATGATGACTGGCTTGCTGACATGTCAAGCGAACCCCCCCCCACATGTATTTGAGAGGAGCCCTGCTAAAGATCTTCAGTTTTAAACCCATCCATCAAAGCATTTGGCGTTTTATTGTTCTGCATACGGTACATGTATGCATGGAGAAATAAAACACATTGTATGTATCATTTTGCTATTTTGTTGAAGACAATTTGAAAAGTTTGTGGTGTGCCACGTTCAAAACTTTGCATTGACTCCACAATTTTCAAGGCATAGTATAGACATGATTTCAAGACTTCCACACGAGTATTTTATTGGTTGTAAATGGATAGTCCTTTGGTAAAATTGTCAAGAAAACAGAACGCTAATCCTGTTTCCAAAAATACATGTACAATGTACATGTCCATTAACAGGAGCACATTTGTTTGTACATTTAGTCGGTGTACATGTGGCTGCTGTAGGCGTCCATGAATGGGTAAACTAAAAATAGTAATGATAAATCAGAATTTGTATTGGGCTGTCTACATGTACCATGGTTGTAGTCCGAACCATCCCAAGACCAGACACGAGACCAGTCACAAGTAACAGGATGAAAATTGACAAAGGAATGCTTCTGTTGCAGTTCAGTTGAATAGCTAGTGACTTGAATTCAGACTGAAGGTCTTGTGTTGGTTTTGTGTGGTCTTTTGAAGGTCCTACATGTAAGTGGTCTCGACAACCGTACAACACTGACATGTACATGTACACAACAGTGATCGAATGCATCTTACAAGACATACTACTAAAATGACTTAACCCTAACCCCCCTGGTACATGTATATATCACCTAGGGTACAGGACTCAATACTACAGTACATGTACAAAATACTACATACCGATCATAGTCTGAGCCTGAAGGACTAAGTGCTACAGATTACTATCTGTACTTCTTGCTAGGGCACTTCCAATGTTACTTGTACAGACATGACAGAGATCGTGAATGTATTCATAGTGCCGTTGCACTAACACATTGTCTTATTTATTTGATAGCTTCAGAGACCAAAAAGTCAACGTACTCATAAGCCACAGCACTGTATTGTACATTTTACTACTAAGTAGTATTTTGTAGTGTTTGGTTAGATAAGGGTTTGCTGAAACCACTTACAAGGTACCGGTAAAACTGCTTGAAAAGATGTCAATACAATAGCAAAGACTGAACCGAACATTGAAACGTAATGAAAACTGGGTTAAAAGCATGTCCCAACTAAAAGCTTAAGAATGTAACTAAACAATGCTACTGAGGCTCTGATAATCTACGTGTACACTTGATGTGTTACGCACAATTTGTAGCTATGAAAATGAGCAGTAAAATTAGTTACATTGTAAAAGGCAGTTTGAAAATATAGGTCTTTACTTTACACTTGAAAATGTCAATGGACCTCAATTGTTGAATATTAGTAGGCAACCGTTATTCCATAATTCAGGGGCTGCATATGGAAAAGATTTAAAACCCAGTGTTTTTAACAGACTACGCTTAGGATTTTCCAAACACTGGAATGTAAACAGTAAGTGGATGTCTTTTTTACACCAACACAGTCACTGATGTACTTTGAGGATAGACCATGCAGAGCTTTAAAGTTAACAGAAGTATTTTAAAATCTATACTGAAAGCTGTAAAGGTGTCAAATACATATTGAAAGGAAACTGAAATATTCTTTATGTGAAAAATGTCACCCTCTCATTATCACACCTGATTCAGAATAGTACAGTAAACTGAAAGGAAACTGAAAAGAAAGGGAATATGGATCCATTTATTGAGAAAGAATTTTCCTCATACGAAAAATGTCACCCTCTCATTATCACACCTGATTCACAGTAGTACAGTAAACTGCCTGCTGTGCAGGGCATTGCTATTAGGAGTCAGCAGTTTCCTGCATAGATACCAGTACCGGTAGTGTGTTTACAGTATTGATCATGCTCCTTGATCAATATCATTTTTCAAAGTGAAATTTAAGTGTGGAATTTGAGAGCAAAGTACAAATAAGATGGTACTGCTCATGCCACCCGAGTAGCTGCCATCTTGTTTTCATGTGACCCACTGAGAAAAGATAAATACATGTACTACTAGCTGCAGGAAATTGCAAACCGCAACATGGTAAGAAAAAAATGCATGTTGGGATAAAAGATACCTACTCACTGCATATATATTACTTTGTTTCGGAAGGGAATGTCTCAAAAGTCAGGAACATTTGAGTTCTGTTGGACTGTGTCCCACTGGAATCCGCGCATGTCAGCGGGAATGGTCAGCATTCCTGCGGGAATGGTCAGCATTCCTGTGGGAATGCGATGCTCCCAGTGAAATGGCTGTCTGTTCCGGAATGAGCATGCAGCGTTCCAAATAGAACTTGCTGACTTTCCTGAGTGAGATGTTTCCTAAGATACATGTAAATGAAATTCGAGTCTCGTCAGGTGATCATCTCTAGTTTGCTTCCAGTGAACAGCATCTTTCAATGCATCACATTACTGAACAAGACACCACACCCCTGCTGTGTCCAAAAGTCCAGTTTGCTTTCACATGTACATGAACATGAATGTTTATTTCTCAAACGTGTTTGCATGTCAATTTCAAGTTGCTGGTTATTTTCCAGTCCTATGTACTTGAATGTGGAACTCTGTTTGCAGTGGGTGTGGTTTAATCTAAGTAACATCACACTCTTCAGCTGAATAGGAATAAACTGATGTGTTGCCTTAACCCTAACAGTCCTCAATCCTTCACCTGTTGGAGGACTGATGACTGTTAGAATTAATGGATATTGTGTATAATTACGACATGCCACCATGCCCGTTAGGACTCCATCTGCAGGTACGGAAGTTCATATCCCCAACAGACTAATTCGAAACGTAAAAATACGGTAGAAACCATTCATTGCTGCGGTGGCACCATACCTTGGAACGAGGGTTACCGGTACAAATGCATAACATGTCTCTTCAACCAAATATTAGGGTTTCATGATTTCCCTCATGCATGTACATGTACATGTCAAATTTGAGCACTTACAAAAGGACCTGAGAGCCAAAGCATTTCAACATGTTGCAGGATATTTATACTTCCCCCGAAGCTAATGTAAGAATCATTGCATCAGACATTGGCGCCAGTCAGACACGGTAGTAATCGGTGCAGCTCTTGGCGAAGATCCTTGTTCCGCAAGTAGTAGATGACAACATTCAGCCAGCTATTTGACAAAAACAGGGCTTGAGCCAACATGATGATCATGTACTTGTCATAGATTCCCCACTGAGTTTTTGGAGATATCCCATTTATAATCACTGCAGGTGCCCAGGTGATGGTCAGAGTCCCTGTTATGATGATAATGGTGGTGGTTGATTTGGTGCTCACTCTCTGCCCACCTTGGCCATTGCCTGCACGGTTTTCAGCAGCAATGCGTCGGGCTTGATTGCGAGCTGCAAGGCTGATGCGTGCATACAGGATAAATATGGTTGCCAGTGAGATAACAAATAATGCAGCAACAAGATACACTCTCCAGTCATCCTTCAAGGCCATACACAGTTGGATGGGACCATCCTGCGAAACGGTAGCACTGTCATTAGTCCCATACATGAGAATAAAGATGATGAATGTTACAGTCCATGTGCTGCATACCATGACCTTTGATCTGAAGACAGTCATCAACGAAGGGTACCGTAGTGGATGGGAAATAGAAATGTAACGATCTATAGTCAGAAGAAGAAGTGACCACATACTGAGGCTATTGAATATGAATGCAACAATATTCTGTATTGCACAGAGAAAATTGCCCAACAACCAACGCACTGCAAACAGTTCCACGAGTCTAGGGATCCAGCATAGGCCACTGCCAAGGTCAGACAGGGTGAGTGAAGCCAGGAAGATTTTGGTGGTCGGCTGGATGCTGTTGACACGCCGTAAGGTGAAAAGCATCAGTGTATTGAGGAGCAAAATCATCAGGATCGTCAGTGTGGTCAAAACTGATGTGAACATCTGAATTGGTGTCAGTGCCAGTTGATACTTGAGACTCTCATCAGTACATGTAGCATTGGAGGTGACATGTAATCCAGCAGCTTCTGTAGTTTCCATGGTTTCTAGAGAAGACAGAGCAGTAGATTTTGAAGGATTGTAAATACTTCCAAAGTGTTTATTCACTGCTACTAGAAAACTACGGGCTTTGTCATCTGCTTCAGTTGCTTGCTCATAAAGTTGTGTTTTTTTATTATTTAGTCTAAAGACTAGCAGTACCTCCTCCTTATGATTAGTTTCAGCTCAAAGCTTGTCTAATGATGAAGATGTCTTGTTCATCGTGGGTGCAAAGTCTTGTGATGGCAGTAAGAGCTTGAAATCGGCTAAGAAGCAATGTAATCTGACTGTTGAATACATCAAAAATGCAGTTACCAGTCTTGCAGTGGCAGGAGAGATCCATAGATGAAATTTGCTGGCTCCACCATACTACCAGAGACTCTGGCCCTGCAGGCTCCGTGGTCTTGGGTTCCCTCAAAGAATGATCCTAACTACTACCAGTCATTGTACCTTTCCTATTGACAGCGTCATTGGTCGAGAACAGATGATGCACAGGTAGGCATAGGTACACTTAGCTGAGCTTGTTTGCCGACTGTCAGGTGTGGGATGTGATTTATGAGAAATTGGTTGGAATTTTCAACGTAAACACACTTTGATTGTCATTTCATAATTGCGTGGACAGTTTTAGGCTAAGTGGTCAGTAAAGCAACTTCATTTACGTGGGTGTTTGAAAGTGGATGACTGGATTGCCCTGTGGCAGGCCATCTCCCTTTGCTTCCTGATATTAGAGATTTTAATGGCCAAAAGTTTATGGAAGAGCAACAGTAAGCCTTCAATCTTGACTGAAGTTGAATACGTTTTCAAACCCAATGTCAATCCGTATCCTGCAGTGAACCATGGTGGCTTTGCTGTTAAATTTTAAAATTTATCCAATATTAAAGAATTAGATTTGCCCTAATCCTGTCTACATGTCATCACTGAATTTATGTCAACAAGGCATAAAAGTACAGCCAGCCAGCCAGCCTGCCTTGAAATGGACAGTGTACTTACATGTACATTGTCAATGCTACACTGTACATGTACTGTACCGGTACATCTTACAAACCATGTAAAATCTACTACTGTTCCGATCTAGAAATATCGTGATGCCATCTGTAAATATCAGTGCCGAGTAAAGTTGGACATTTGTATACACATAGGTTACACGTACTGGTACACTGTAGGTCATAAATCTGAGTGGTTGTCCAATCATGTGATCGACCACATTAGATCCACATGAGGTGGTCTGTATCTTCTAAGCAATTGTTGTGTGCATGCTCAAATGTGCACAAAATGTCTCCACACAGGTTGACTGCACATCTGCCATAGAGCAGTACTTGCTTGATAATCAAAAATGCATCCAACAGTGGAATTCTTTTTAATACTGGATCAGAGGTGTGTTATGAAACACAGTGGGCTGGCAGAATTGTGTAACTTGTGCACATTTATCTCCCCTGTTTGCCTTTGGCCCCAGAGAAGGATGATCCTCCTCTGGTCACTCACAGTCCATCACAGTGCATAGACGCGGCCAGTGGCCTCATCATTGCCTGTCCATGTGTACAATAATGCTGCCGTGTCAGACACCGGGACTGATTTTGCTCACTTTTTCTCACCCGTCTGCTTTTCTTTCTCTCTCCTTGTAGGAGGCAGGCGCAGTCGACCAAGCAGAGATTGACAGTGAACTAGCCAGGAATCAGGAAGAGCTGAATCAATGCCTGAAGGCAGCTAAAACGCATGAGCCTGAGCCCACCACCCTCGGCAAGCAATGGAGCAGCTGTGTGGAGGCACCTGCCCACATAACCTCATGGGATACAGGTCAGTGGTGTTGCCAGACAAGTTCAATCGTGTCATTGCAGGTGACAGACATGAACATGAAAACAAGTTCAAAAAGTAAAGAAGTTTCGTATTAAAAGTAAAAGTACTTTGGTAGCTGTTAGAAATGCAGTGAATAAAAGCCAGTCTACTGACAATGGACAGAGCAAAATCTTCAGAATAAGTCCACTCATTCTTTTCAGAACTTCCGCAAACCTTCCTCTCAAAACAAGATCTGACCCTCGAGTAAAAGAAGATCTCACCCGGAACCATTGTAAACTGTACATGTACCATATCTTTCTGGTGAAATTGGTTTTGTGTAATAGATTGAATGGCTCTCGTTAAGAATTGAAAACCATGTGTGGGCAAGTGTGACAACAACTGATGGGAGAGTGTTTGTAATCAATGAAGCAGGCTTACATGTACGTAACCAGGAGCTTCAGTGACGGAAGTTGTCAGAGTCCTGAGGCCAAAGCAACAAAACAGTTCCATCTCATAATGTCAAACAAAATACCGGTAGGGGGGAGGGGTAAATGCGCAGAATCTTTTGTTCTTCACTCTTCATTTTTTTAAGTTGGAAAATGGCCAATTACTTGTTGTTTGTGTGTCCACCCATTGCTAACAGGTAGCATGTAACAATTTAACAAGTATTTTGGACATATTACAACATTTCAGCTCTTCATGATTGCTGGTTTAGTGGTTTAAGAATGGCTGATATTAAAAAAAAGGAAACGGTTGTTGCTACAGTGTAAACCCACAAGACCGAGGCACTTTCTTAAGTGGGCCAGGTTTAAGATGTGAATCAGAATTAGAAAGTATTGAAAAATTACAGTCCAATGCTCATTGCCTAAGTTCTTCATTTTTTTTTTTAATTTCTTGAATCAAAAGACTTTGTAGATTGGGTTGAGTAACCAGAAACACAACTACATGTACATGTATTTTTGGTTTGGGCCAACTGCCTAGTACAAGTTAAAAACAGTCTCAGTATTGGACAGTGTGTCCTCTTCCATTGACCCGTCCTGATGAATCTTTACAGAGCTGCTTTTTTAGACCATTCACAACATGCCTGCACAGTCAAACAGCTCGAGTAATCATTGCTCTCAAAACCCAGAATGACTTGTGATTCATTCGTTCACAGGTGTTGATATGGAATTGCTACGCTTTGTTGCCGCCAAGTCTGTAGAACTGCCGGAAGATTTTGTAAGTCCTTACCCTAATACAGGTGCAGCTTCTGCCCTCTGGGCAAAGAGGAAAACTGTAAGCCGACTCTTTTGAAAACAATATACACACCTCCTGACTACCGACTAATCTTAGCGACAATAACCAGACGAGTCCCAATTATATTCATCACCAGTTTTAGTTCAGCGTATCAAGCATTGACTTACATTTTGCACTGCCAATATGCTCTACTCGGTGCTTGCAATACCTGCATGTATGCCCAAGAGCTACATAGAGTACACCCAACAAAGAATAGCTGATCAACTGGCCATACATTATACTTGCACTACAGCAGTTGCACGGCAGAGGTGCTCAACTAAGAGATTATTTATGCAAATGATAGTAATAAAATAATATTTTTTACAGAACAAATTTTTAAAAAATGCTTTTCTGGGCATGACCATGGCCCTAGAAATGATACATTCAAGATTCAGTCCTTTTAAACTTGTAATGCACACCCATGTAGCTAAACAAAATTAAAGGGGTCATGACACAGGGGGAGCAGTTGGAGGTCATCACAATCAAGAATTGATATGATCGTTTCTCCTAAGTAAATTCTGTTGGCACTTTAAATTTAGGCAAGAATAAGGTGTGGTAATTTACAGCGTACCACTCAAATCCTTAAAACAAGTTGCCATAGAGAGACAAACTAACTGATTCTTCGCAGTGACCTCAAAAACACCTCAGGCAGCGTGGTAAAAAAAACAGAAGTCTTTCTGTCATATTTACTTCAGGCTGTGCAGTCATGGCACAAGAAGATGAAGGTTTAAAGTGTCGAGGGCTGAGGGAGAGAAATAAGAATTAGCCGAAATTTTGCTTGATTTTCAGACCCCTCACAACCATCTTATCAAGACATTCTTGGAGGCACGGCTGAAGAAAATCCAGGAAGGGAATGGCATCGATTGGGCCACAGCTGAAGCTATGGCCATTGGCTCTCTGCTCTATCAGGGTACGTCTGAGAAGGCAACACATAACTGGTATTGCTAGTACCACCTCTCCAGGGAGGGGAGTTGGGCAGGCTGACTTATTGCAAATCTTTAGACAGTCATTTTTTAGGGAAGAAAAAAATATTCCCGACCCCTTTCTCACCCCAAGACCTGAACACGGAACTGCATAGAAATAATTGGAAACAGCTGAAGCCAGGGCATTTGAGTCTCTGCTGTTTCAGGGTGCATTTGGGAACTTAAAATGGCTTGAGATTCTCTCACTGCCAAACAAGTTTTCCATTACCGCCAAAAATAAAGATGTACATTTCTCAAATAAACCTTCTGAGTTGAGCAAACTGAGCACGATTAATAAAAAATCATTTATTTGCAATTTGTTCTGGCATAATTTACTGTATGCTTGGCCTAAATACCATATGCCCAATACCATAGATTTTGCACAAATCACAGAGGCACACAGAACGTATCTTTCATGAAATGTGTCATGTGGTGTGCAAAATAAGTTATAAAATGCTTGGTAGGATAAGTGAACCAACACCAGTGCAGTTTTGTGAAATGGGCTACTGATGTTGCTATTTCAAAAAAGTTTTTAATCTGATATTTCCACTAATTTCTATTATTTTATTGCATGTTTTAACTTTTGGTAACCAGATATCTCAAACTGGACTGAATTAGGTAATTTTGATATTTGATAATCCCCTATCGTTAATTTTCATACTTAAGAGTCATGCAAAGGAAAATATTTTCTCTGCAGAAACTTTTGGTTGTTACAGGCCATGAGCACTTTGAACTTTTGTGCTGTCACGCATTGTGGATCATCTCAGATAATAGCTTGGTCTGGTTTGGAAATATTGAGTCACAATTTATGGTGGGAATAAATATTATGCTCTTACCTTGAGTGCAAACTAGGTGTTCTTTTTAAGGGACTAGGCTTAATAAAAATCTGTGACACCATTACAATAGGTTTCAGTGTGCGGCTGAGTGGTCAGGACGTTGGCCGTGGTACCTTCAGTCACCGGCACGCCATGCTCGTAGACCAGACTAGCGACGGTGCCTACATACCCCTCAACCACATCACTCCAGAACAGAAATCTTTCTTTGAGGTGAGTCAGCCCTATCAATGTACGCGGGTGTCTGTCTCTCAGCAGGGATGTCCATTATACCCATGGGAACGTAACGTGGAAGGTTTGCGGTAACACCATGGAAGGTCGACTTCTTTACGAGTTGTGTGGTTTGCAGAAGAATCAGTTGGTTTCACTCCATGTTTTCAAGCAGTGTGTCCTGTTCATCCCCTGGAGATAGTTCCAAACAAATAGAACGCACTGTTCTCAGAACCACACAACTCACAAAATGTCAACTTTATTATCCAAAATGAAAAATAGTTTTCAAAGTGAGACCATACGTGTACATGTATCTAGATAGCAAAATAGGTTCCTTCTTTTTCAGAATGTTCTGTAAATGAAGTGGATTTGGAAGTTGCCATTCTGTGATTAAATGTCACACGTGTACGTGTAATGTCAGCACGACTGAACTTACCATTATGCCATGTTCAATAGTGCAGTGTATGCATGCTGGAAGTGTCACACTTTGTATACCGTCATTGCTGATGGTAACGCATGTGAAAGGCATATGTCGTTTCACCATCGCACATGCTCCTGATTTTGTCAAATCCATCCCCAATTTCCCAAATACAAGCATGTTTTGTAGAGAAGAAAAGAGCTAAGAGACAACCTGCATCAAGGCGCTGATGCTGAAGCGCCTTTTGCAAAAGATGTGGTCAGGTATAATAGGAAAACTCTACACCCCTGTGTCCGTGCATTGATGAACAATGCATTACATACTCCTAGTATAACCACAGGTGTAACTGATGTTGATAGAATGTTCCTAACAGTGAAGCCAATCAATGTGCATTCAGTAAGGGAATAAATATATGCTTGGCTGGTCTTAAATATGTGATTAAGACCGGCTCAGGAGAATGGACGCGACTAACGCCAGAGCCGCAATTATCAGTATTCATGAGACCAGCCAAGCACATGTTTATTCCCATTCATAAATACTTTTTATTCAGAGAGTCAAAAGAGTTCAATATATGATGGATTTCCAGTAATTTTGTTCCAGAATGTTACTTTCATTTCTCCAAACACCCCGTTTATTTCATGGTAGATTCCTTTTCAAACCTGTCCAATAGAAGCTCTCCTTAAATGAACTTGGCACATTGTGTGCAGACAGACTATTGACCAATCAAACTCGATTAAACTCTTGTAACCATGTGCCATCGCATGATGTATGCAGCGGGCATTATCCTTTCTCAGCGGGCATTATCAAATGTTAATACATGGTCACGTGACGTATTTTGACCAATAGGAATAGAAAAACTGTCGTCGGTGAATGAGATTTAATAATGGCCAAGCCAAGGTATTAACTTGTATCACTGTTGCTAGTTCATGTTTCAAGTGTCAGTTACGAGTGGTCTTTGTGAATGTTCATTCATGTTCAGGTGGTCAATAGTCCGCTGTCTGAGGAGGCTACATTAGGCTTTGAATATGGAATGAGCATCGAGAGCCCCAAGAACCTGGTCATCTGGGAGGCCCAGTTTGGCGATTTCTTCAACGGGGCGCAGATCATCATCGACACCTACGTCACAGCAGGAGAAGGTGAGCTCTAGTCTTTTGTTGATAGGTTGAGATGGAGTCAGTATGGTGGTGACTCTGCTACCTCAGACTGAGCTGGTGATCTCGCCTTGGTTCTGAGATATTGCTATGTGGTTGCTGTTTAAATACCGGTAGGTCTCACTCAAATGACATCATTTCTTGCAGATTTCCATGTGAATCAGCATTTTTTACTTAAACTTTTTCGTGACGTGCATTGGCTGCGCTGTACTTCAAAGATATCTGGATCAACACGCGCACAGGTACAGAATGTTTGCACATTGCATACACATGCATCTGTTTGCATCGTATACGCAGTTGTAATTTTCCTACGTAGATGGCCTCTGATGAGAGAGATCTACAGTTGCTACTTAAGGACCAATTTCAACCTGATTTCCCCCCCCCCCAACTGCCTCCCATGGAGATGTATTGACAAATACGGAATCGATGCCCTTGATGAGGAGAGCATGGTGTGTCTTTCATGGGGAAACTGTCACTGCGCATGTACATGTAGAAAGTGCCTTTCATTATGGAAGGGGGGTCATCAGGAATGTGGAGCTATTGCATAACAGCAGCCACGGGATTCATTAATAGATCAGGTGTTAGAAGTGCATGTATTTACATTTTTCTTATCTTCCTGGGCATTTTGCACAGAACTTTGAAGGAATTTTCCGCAATTCTCTGGGCTACAGGAAACCAGTTATGCGCTCTTTGTGTGTTCTTGGTGTTCTAATGGGTATCAAGAGTAAAACCAACTTGTCTTTACTGTCCCTAATCCTGCCGAGTTCTCTGCAGCCCCCCCCCAGGATTTTGAAGGACCCGGAAAGGTGTGGGGCAATGAAAGTCACCATGGAATTCAGGGAATAATTTCTTTTTTCAGACACTTTTTTAGTGCAAATTTGTTCTTATCTCAAAATATTAAAAGTATTTGATATCGTTTTGGGTTAAAGTGCATAGAAGCATGCACTTTTATGAACTATTTGAAACGCTATGCTTTATTGGGGCAGCTGAGAAATGTTTGCTCCTTGGTTTGGAAATTGGCATAAGCATAAATTGGTGCAAGACACCAGTAAACCTTTTGAATTGGCAAAACAATACTTAAATATAAAGTTAATTGAATAACAAAAGTGCATCATTTTTCAAGGGTTGTAGAGGACAGTTGCACTGCAGACACCCTTCAAATGTTTTACTAGCATTCAATCAAAAGGTATCAGATTAGGCAATGGAGAAACAGACCCAAATACTTTTTCTTCCCTGACTAGTGAAGTGGCGTTTACAGAGCGGCCTGGTCATGCTTCTGCCCCATGGCTTTGACGGAGCTGGGCCCGAGCATTCCTCCAGCCACCTGGAACGCTTCCTTCTCCAGACGGACAGTAAGGAGGATACTGTCGATGGAGATAACGTCAACTTCGCTGTGGTCCATCCCACCACACCAGCCCAGTATTTCCACTTGCTGAGAAGGCAGGTGAGTATTGAGCGGTATGTTTTGCAAGGGTGATGAGGAGGCTTTGTTCACAGGGGTTTACCCCCCAAAAAAATTGTCGGAGAGACAAACTGTAAAAAGTTTAATTGCCAGATGGTCAGATGTAATTCCAGTAACAAGAGGCAGTCAACCGTTCGACATCTCTGCTCTATAGAGTGTGGACCTGCAGCACAAATATCTCAAATACACAATCTGCTTTCCATATTCACAAGGACAGATGGTGGATTAAATCACCATATGCACCATGTGTCACCTCCAATGAACATATGGGTGCTAATCCCCCATTTGTTTTGTACGCACATGCAAAGCCCGAGAAGTCCGGGAATCAAACCATGTGATGAACTTCAACCTTGAGGGCTGCACATCCTGTTGCAGTACTATCACCGTGTGACAGCACCGCCGTGGTGTTACAAATGTGTAAGACATTGGAAGAAATACTGCACAACTATTGTTCAAATTGCTGTAATGCACAGTAGTAGGCACCTGTTACTTTTTGCTTGATTCAATCATGAGTGGTAATGTGTCTTGCTTATGGACATACAGTATGCATTGTACAACAGAGTTCCAAAAGGCTTGGCATAAACTTACAATCAGCAGCAAGATACCAATAACCTTATCCTGGATAAAATGCACCAGGCACTACCTCTTTTGGAACCTTGTCATTTTAAAAGCAAATACCCTCCTGATTCCCCCCAGATGGTGAGAAATTTCCGCAAACCATTGGTCGTCGCTTCACCTAAAATTCTACTGCGCCTGCCAGAAGCCACCTCATCCCTCGCTGAGATGGCTCCAGGAACCAGCTTTGTGCCCGTCATCGGAGATGAAACCTCAAACCCTAAACAGTAGGTCTAGTTTACCTTTTTCCCTCCTGAGTTTGGCGTATGGAGATGCCCCAGCCACAATGACATCATTGTGGCAATGTTTTACATGTTTAATGTGACGGGGGTTCTGCCATTTCTGGGCAACCCTTTGTGCACATAAAGTTTTTCTTCGTACGGGCTGGTGCCAAATGTCATCCTGGCCATCTTTGGCAAGAGGGGTAAAGGTTTTGCTTTGAATTTTTAATTTTTGGAAGGAAGTCTGGCCCCAGGTTGAGGGGACAAAAGTTAGCTATTCTGCACTTTTTGTTAACTTGGCTTCTTATTGCATCAATGTTGTCTTGGTTCACCCGCAGTGTACCCTAAAATACATACTTGTATACCCGCTGTTCTGTTCTGTTCCGCAGAGTGGAAAGGGTCATCTTTTGCAGTGGTAAGCACTACTACGCCCTGCACAAACAGCGCGATCAACGCCAGGCCGCGCACGACACGGCCATCGTGCGAGTGGAGTCCCTGTGTCCATTCCCAGCAGAGGAGATTCATCAAGAGCTGGACAAGTACCCAAATGCTAAAGGTTTGCTTATTTCCCTCATTTCCACTTGGCAAATAAACCTTGGATGAGTTGTTTGATTTTCTGACCAGTTGTTGGAAAGATGCTTTTGCAGTTACTTAGCTGGGGCTGCCTGGTACTGCAATCACATCCTCTAGACATGTCTATTCATCACGTGTGAAGGCTGCAGTTGTGAACAATGCTTGAATCCTTCACGCTCGAGCATGGGTGAAACAAGTTTTCAGAATCACCACCATTGCACTGATTTGGACATGGACACCTGGAATGGCTGACCCCTGTGCACCGCTGGAATGACTCGGTTTGCTTTTTGCCACCTGTGTATTTCTATCAATTTAGGGTGGAAAAAGGAAAAAAAAAGGTGACATTTGAACCAGTAACCTCTGTAATGTCAAGTTGTGGGTGCCAGAGATGGCCCAACTTGTTGACTGGACCTAGAGGGTAAATTCTACTG